AGATTTTTAACTCTGGTTTTACCATGCTCTGTGTGTGGAAAAACAGAGCAGATGTTTCAGTGCACATACCAAACAGACACAAAGTTGAAATGAGTATTTCCTAGAGTGTCTCATGTCCCTCCAGGCTTCCTCCAGAGCTCAAGGAATTCTGCTCCTTTCACTCCTGTTGTGAAATTACATCTGTCATTTGTCCTTCCCTTAGGAAGGAAAAGCCTTTAAAACCAGAGGTGGAGTGTTTTCTTTCCGTTGCTACAGTTTCACGTAGAATTTTGTTTCTGACTTCTTGTTGCTGACCCAGCCTGTAGCCAAACTTTGTCTTCTGTCTATTTTCCTTCCCTTCTTTTGCCCCTTCTTCCCATCCCCAGAAGCATCCTGAAGTGGAATCCAGTTAACACAGCAGTTATTGCTGTTGCTAGTGGGCTGGGTTGAATGCTTCTTTAATTTGAACCAAGTTCTAATTAGGCCCTTCTAAAGCTGAAACCCTATGATGCTGTTTCCACTAACTAGACGGTAGTAAGTTCAAAGTGGCAGGGTTTTGAGGCAAATACCATGTAGATCAGCAGAAATCCTGAAAGATCAAGTAACTCCAGCTATGTGAGGCAGCTAATAATCTTAGAAAATCTCATCAAAGAGCAAGTAATTGTATTTTGCTGTACCAGATCTGTTTTTCAGAATTAATTGCATGTAGATTTTTGCATGGTCTGACATTTAAACTGGTTTTCAAATTTGGTCCCTGAATGCATTGTCAGTTTTCCGACAGATCTTTGCTAGATTTGAGGTTTCCCATTTCCCAGAGCAGAACGGAGACTGTGTATGACCATTTTGACATCATATGTCAAGAGGCTTAGTTAACTAGAGCTGGGTTTAAAACTGTTCATGAGAGATTCACACGAGGATGAAAGAATTCACATATTTGGTTTTCTATATTACAGGGCTGAATAGCACTCCTATTTTTACTGGGTTTTCTTGTGTTTTTTTTCCCCATGATCTGCCAGCTCAAGTTTTTCATGTTATAAAATCATCTGCTTTTGCACACAAATAATTAAACAGTGGGAAGTTTTGTTTTATGGAACATACTGGTCAGCACAGCTAATCAGGTTTTTATATCATGACGTGGGACACTGTGCAGTGCTTCATCTGGAGAGAGAACGGTTGAAGGTTTACAAGCTTGTTCACAGACAGTTGAGGGTATCCTTGATAGAAGACCATTCTCAAACAGGTGCTGAGCGGTGAAGCTGCAGAACCTCAGCTATACTTGGTCACACTCATCCACCAATAATATTTCCGAAGTAAAATGTTCCAATTAACCTATTTTGCTCGATACATACACTGTAGTTAATCCTTCCTCCCTGTTTATCTCTGGCTGTGGCAGTGGCAGGTTGCAGAAGGCCTGAGAGGGTAAGACAGTCAGAGTTCTGCCCTCCCCTCTGCAAAGCAATATTAAGGATATCTGGCCAGGAACAGCTTATTGAATTGAATGGGTATCAAACCATAGTGATTATGGGATGTTTCTCTCTTCCTTCTATAGAAAAAAGCCTAAAAATAATAACCTGTTCATTTACTTGTTGCTGCTAGCATGACTGACTTCCTTCCAGGCTAAATGTTCCCTTTTTGGAGACTGGTTTGTGCTGCGTGCAGGCTGTAGACAGCTTCTCTGCTTCAAATGCCTCACCAACAGCTGCCAGTTCCTTTTCTTCTTGGCAGGTAAGTGTAAAGCTCTTCTGTGCTTTGCCCTTTGAAAAATCGTGTGGTGTGTTGAGAGATGGCCCCAAAACACTTACATCAGCCATACTCTTAAGTAATCTACCCAGTGATTCTGCTTTCTGCTAGCTTGGTGTATTCAGTGTTGCATTAGACATGACGTGTCTCATCAAGAGCCATATGTATAATGCAGAAGGTTTGACTCTCTTGAAAGGTCAATCTCTGCCATGTATGAGGCTCCCAAAGCTGTTCACTGCAAGCCTTGGGAGTATATTTTAGTGTGGGGTTGGTTTGTGTGATGTTTTTACAGTGAGTACACGAGCTGACATTATAAATGCTGGTGTGGTGGGGAGAAGGGCAAAGTGAGAACTCCTTACAGAGAAGCTCTGTAGAACCACGCTGCCTTCTCACCATGGCTGTGGGTTTTCATCCAGGCCTAAGGGAAGCAGGTGGAAAGCAAACCCTGAAAAAGTAAGTCTGAGGAGGTTTTTCTGATTATTTTTTTTTTTGGTGGTGGTTGTTTTCGCTTGGTCTTTTAAAACAAAATTTTCAACAAGAAATAACAAAAGAATAAAACAAAAGTGATGTAGCAGTCTCTGGTTTACTGGAGAGCTGTATAAAGCATTTTTGTGGATCAAAACCCTCTGATCTTCCCACCTGAAAATAGGGATGGGAACAATAGCCACTCCCTTACTGAGCAGATGACTGGAACTGTGAAGAAGTAACCGCAGCCAGCAGTTACCTGTAGGTCATGCTAGGAGACTCCAGCCCTGTGATACTGCTAGAAGAGCTTTGCACCCCCTCCCTTTCCAGGAAACAGATCAGGTAATCACTGTGTAATCCTCTGTAGGTGGAGCTCAGTGAATTTCCTGGTAGCTATCTCCTGTGTGAAAGTGGAGGTCTTTCACACATGGGATTGCTTGTGTGCTCACTGCTGAGAGTCTGCATCTTCCCTTGCCCTCTTTTATCCAGCCACATGCCCGTGAAAAGTTTTGATGTATGGCTGTATCCATTATTGTTCCTGCTTTCATTTCTGTTCAAGCTACGTCAGCCTTTCCAGAAAGGCATAGTTTCCCCATCTGGTAATCAGTTGTGGAGATGCAATTGCAACTCCAGTCAACACTAACTCTGATTTGTGTTTAATATGAGACTTTTTAATAACATTTCAACCTCCAATGATTCAGGACAGAGAGTATTTTTCTGTTGTTTAGATTGTATAAATGAGAGCTGGTGAGGGGTGTCCCCTTATAAAAGGTCAGGCTTTAAGTGTAATTTACTCCAACGTATATATTTAATACAGAAACATAGTCCTCAGATGTGCTGGCAGTAGAATTGATTTTTAAAAAATAATAATAATTTGGCATGTGTCCCACAAAATTCCAGTACTGAGGGTAATTTTCATCCTGAAACAAGTAAGAGTCAAAATCTGGTTTGGGGTTGAATTGTAAACACTAGAAGACAAAAAGCACAGGTTCTGAGGTGGTGTTCAGCTGGCTCCTTCTGAACAGCTGTAGCACCTCAGGCAAACTGTCATTTTAGTCCTGCAACCTGCTCTCATCCTCCAAGCAGAGCTGCCTCCCACAAGTGTGGTTCCCACTGCAGTGCAGGGGGTGATCCAGCAAGGAGGGTGAGAAGCAGCACAGGCAGGAGCCCAGGAACTCAGCTAAAACTCCTGGGGATCATTAATAATCTGGAGTAGGAGAGCCAACTAGTGTGGAAAGTGGCAAAACCAAAACTTTCCTGCTTGGATTGACAAACAAACAAAATTTCCTTTCCTGGCCTAGCAATAGCTTTGTCTTTTTTCTTTTTTTTTTTTTTTTCAGTTGAGAAACCAAAGCAAATGGACGGATGCTATATAGAAAAAAGTGTCTGTTCCCAAACTCGATCCAGTAGTGGAAATACAGAAATGCTGCTGGTGTTATTATACACTTCAAGTAAACAAAGTATTTAAAGTAGTGACAATGTGCCATCACATTTCCTATGCTGAACAAAGTCAGTCTGTGTCTGTCCTACAGTGCTTACAGATTGATAGAGAAATTGGTAGTGGTGAATATTTTTGCTTTGTGTTTTACTAAGATGACTGTCCCTTTGCTGGAGTTCTAGCACCTTAGCATGCCTGCTGTCCCCAGACTCCACATGGAAGAGCATTCAGAGTCCTCTCATGCTCCTTTTGCAGCCTTTCACAAGGACCAATCCAGTCTGTCAATTAAAGTCTTGATTTTAAAGGCTTTTTCCATTTTAGCAATTAAGCTGTAATTTCTTAAAGATCTAAACTTTATTTATGCTTCCTTCTTTTGAAGGAGACAGCAGAAATGCATAGTTTCAGCTATCTCTGAGGACCTGAAGAAATGAGGTTTCTGTGACCAAATTGTCTGTCCTCTGATAAAAAGCTACCACATAAAAGGCAGGCACACAGTTCCTGAAATGCGGTGAGCCTTGCAGCTGTGAATGCTTGTTCTGTGTTTGAATTTCCAGCCCTGGTAGAATTTAGTATAGGCAGAATAGACCAGAAACAGTATAGGCAGAACTTAAACCCAGTGGTTTTCATAGTACATGGCACTGTGTATGTTTGAGATCCTCTGTTACAGGGGCAGCTGGTGGAGTCCTGCAGGTCCTCACTTTTCTCTGTGTTTCAAGTCTTGAGGGGGGTCACAGAAGCTGATAGACCTGTCAGTGTTCAGTAAACAATAACTGCTTTTTATCCATGTTCTTAAATCAAGCCAAGTCATTCAAACCCACACTTTTTACTTCTGGCAAGTAAAAAACTGCATGTTAACTGATAAAAAGTACTGCTAGATTTGTACACAGACCTGGTTTGAATTTTGGCTTTGGGGTCTTTTGTTAGGCTATCAGGAGTTCTGTGTCTCTGCCTTGGATTGGGACGATATCAAAGAAAGGAAGTTCATTATTAAGTCCTTCTTGGGGTGTTGTAAGATACATCATCAAACAGTTTAGATGAAGAGGCTTGAAGGGGAGGGTGTTTGTTTTTAAGACTTCAGGATCACCTAAGCAACAACACTTCTCTTTGATTAGAGAAGAAACAACTTCAAAATGGGCAGAAAGCTTAATGGAAAGCAAAGCATTCGTGCCTTCCAGCATGAATTTTCAGAATATAGCCTTGCATGCAGTAACAAACTACATTTGGCACACTTGTTAGCAAAGGAGTTTAACAATTTAATCACCTCTTTAAAAAAAACCACCCAAGCTTTCTGATCCTACATGCACAAATCATCATGGCTAAGATACCTTCTCTCTTCATATCAATCTCATAGTCTCTACATTAATTTTATAGAAAAAAGATTTTGGAAATAATTTTTTATTGTAGTGAAAATAAGATACCATTATGTTCATATATATATACACACGAAGAAAAGATTCACTGTATATACACTGAAAAACCTCATACTCAGTGTAACCAAGACTCTCCTCAGCTTGTGCAGAGCAAATAGCAGAATATCTTCAAAATGTGCCTGATCCCAGCTGCCATCCATCGCTGTACTGAGCTGGAGCAGCACCAGAGCTTCCAGGGCTGGCAGCCCAGCTGCACACAAACAACTCCCAAGCTGATGCCCACCCTGAGCCCAGTACTTCTCTGCATTGTACAGCTACCATGATCCCAAGGCCCTGGTGTAACAGGATGGCTCAACCATGCTGCTGCAAGGGCAGGAGAGAGGAGGCTGCACAGGAGTAAACATGGTAGAGTGCTAGTATGTCTTCTCATACAAGCTCTTCAGAAAATGTAAATCATCACAGCCAATGTTTTGACAGTGCTGCTCAGCTCCCACTGAAGTTGGGGACTTTCACCACTGACTGTCAGGAGTAGAGACTCTCCTGTGTGTAAACTTCACTGAAGGGAGGGTATGTTGAAAGCCCTACAAGTGTATCTGTCTCTTTTTGTGCTCTATATGCAACTGGTAGCCTTTTGCTTTGAGCTGTATGGACACGTAGCACTGATGAGAGTCCCCAGGGATCATTGGTTATGCCCTAGTATTATGCAGCATACAGAGCCAAAACCTCTAGTCCCTCTTTTCTGTTTAACATGTAAAAAAAAGAAAACTCAAAACCACAGAGACACAGATTAGTCCTTTCTTTTAATCCATTTTCTATTTTCACCTGGCTATGTGGACAGCCTACTGAGAGAGGGGAAAAAAAAGAACTGAAACCTTCAAGAACTGGTTTCAGACTCTGGACCAGCAGCTCTGAGAGCCCTTGGGTCACCCAGCAGGATAGGGCCTCTGTCTCATAACACCTGGTCACAACAGTAATCAGCAGCACCATATTATTTCCTGCTGTCTTGTGTTCCTTGGGCTTACAGTGGTTTATGTAAGCATTTCGTTGATGGATATGTGGCTCTGATACCCATTCCCTGCCACTCAAGGCAAGAAAATACTATGTACGTGATCCAGTGAGGTTCTCCAGAACATGCAGAAGAATTGCATTGAAACGTTCTCTTGTGTAGCTAAGCTGCCTATAGACAAGTAAGTAATTCTCACTCTCACTTAACTCTAAAAAAGTATCAGGTGGCTGTTGGCACATGTGGGCCGAGAACTGCAGACTTTGTAGAAAATAACAAATAACTTGGCCTTGTTTGCTAGCAGAATTAATGTGAGACTATTAGTGCCCTAACCCTGACAGCCATGTTAATGCCTTAAACAAGAGACACCGGGTGACCCAACAGAGCCCCAGCACACCTTAACATGTAGTCAGAACTTTCTTCATCACTTGGAGATAAAACTCCATTTCTGTACCTCGGAGGTCCCCATCTCAATTCAGCTATTTTAAAATGCTTCAGGCTGAGGACTTCTGTTTAAGGAATTCTACACTGACTTCCACTAAGCCAAGAATACTCTCATTTTTTCCCTTCCCCAGAGGAAAGTGCTGTCATCTACCAAATACACATGCACTTAAGTACCACAGCCCAATTTTGAGAGCTGATGGCAGGCTATCGCCCAGTTCAGTAAAGAAAATTCAAATATTAGTTGGCTGAATTCAACATTGAGTAAACACTAATTTGTTTTTAAAAAGGATGGGCACAAATGCCATGGTAGTATTTCATCATTGAACTATTCATCTTTGTATTTCAACAACTAAATCTATTATGAAAATAAGCTGGTAGGGAAATACACAACAAATAAATAATGCGTATTAACTTATATCGAAACAAATTGTCTACATACAAAAAAAGTCAATATTAGTCACTTAAGCTTCACAGAACGTTTGTATGATAGAAGCCCTTGTGTGTCTGCCAGGAACAGCTGGAGACCCAACCATCCTGGCTTTACAAACACTGCACTGCAGAAATGCTGCCCTGCCTTGCCAAGGCACCCTGGGGGGCCACTGACAGGCAGGGGTGACACTTAGTGTCGGGGAGAGCTTTCAGAAGGCCTGCAGGCTCAGGGCTGTGCTCCGTTTTGCTAATGCCAGGTGACAAAATGTACATCAGGCAGCTGCCCAAAAGAAAAATTTTTCCAGTAGGGTTATGTTTGCATTTACAATAAGAATGCTTTAAAATAATGCTAACATAATTCTAGCACAGCAGTTCTTCCCTACAAATCATTTGCATTCAAAGCAAATATTTGTTTCCACTAGTGCCTGTGAAATCACTACAGTAGCCCCCAGTGAGGGGATAAATGCCAGACGGGGATTTTAAATGTGCATTTTAATTTGGTTGTGCATGTATAGTCTCTTACTTGAGGAGATTTTTTTTGCCTTGCTATACAAACTTTGTCTGTTTCAGAGTTAATGAAAAATGAACTTTCATAACCCCTGCCACTTCTGATCACCTCTTAAAAATGTCACAGAAAAGCCAGAAGTAATTGAGATAAACAGACATCTGTACATTTTAGCCAGTCATTTAGAAAACATCTGTATCCATCCATGCAATGTTAAGACTATAAGTAACTTTGCAGTTACATCTGAGCCCATTGCTATGGCAACAAGGTAGTCGTATCTCCCACATGCATTCTACTGATTTCTTTTTTTCTTAAAGCAGCTTCCTGAAATGAAAAACAGAAGCAATGATTAAGTTAGTCTCTTTCAAACACTGGATTCAAGGCTTATATGAGGCAGCCCTTACTACTTTCCAGCTGTGGAAAATTCAGGCGCTGATCCTTTTCAAAATGAAAAAATGAACAACTGACATAGAAAAATGTGAACTGATGTTATTTTCAATTAAAAAAAAAAAAAAAGACCACAAGATTTTTGCTACTGTAGCTATTTTTAATCGGGTCCCAAGAATAGTACTACAGTATCTTTCAAACAAACCCAGATAGCTCTAATTTGCCACTTGCTATAGTGAGAGTACAGTTCAGAGGAGTGCGTATACTAATAATGAATTCCTTGATGGCCTTTCTCATCGTTAGCTTTCATTAAAGCACAGAGCTCAGCCTGGTCAATTGTTTGGAATTATAAGCTTTCTATTATGGTAGGTGCCCACCATACCAGACAGGATTGTACTAGTGATCTCTTAGTTTTTGGTTAGTTGCCAAGTCTTGACAACTCAAGATAAACTAACATGCTTTTTAAATTTTTATTTTAAACAGAACACTAGGCCATAGTAACTACACTAGAAGAGTTAAGACAGTTCTGTGCTTTCAGATGTCAGTGCCTCTCTGAGACTCATAAACTTTGGGATTCCTCTTCACTGCTTTTAACATACCTTCTGGAGCTGTCTACTTTTGACACTGATTATTTTCAGTACTTAAAAGGGTTGAACCTCTTCAGAAATAATCTTAACCTCTAGCGTCCCAGCATTTCTAGACCCTTTATATGAAAAATAGAGTAATATAATAAAGGCCACATGAGAAAATATCAAAGGAGTTAGTTATGCAGACAAGACATTTCACTCACATTTGATGCTGCCTAACAAACTCTGCAAACTGACGGTCTTTAGCATAGAGCTCTATAATTCGAATTCTGTCCTGAATTTCCTAGAATACAAGAAACACAATTGTAAGTACATAACAAATCAGAATAGTACTGAAATAATTGATTTCTGTTTTTTGGAAAATAAAACTTCTATGCTTTGCTATTTTGAGGGGTAGAGCTTGAAACTGGGCACTCCAATACTTTTTTTAAAAAAAAAAAGCATAAAAAAATTTAAGTGAAGCATTTCATTGGAATCCAGTAATACTTTACCTTTTAATCAAAACCAGGGTTTGGACAGACTGTGGCAATTCAGCAGGCTTTAACAAAACCATTTATCTGTCATAGATACTTTGCCTAGAAGCCCAGCTACAGGCTGGATTCACACCTCTCACAGTTGTTCCTGGATGTAAATCCCTTCTCTTTCCCCTTAGAGTGTAAACCCTGGATACCATGCATACAGGAAGAAAGGAGAAGGATATGATCTAACTTGCACATTAGAGAAAGACCTGAACTTTAAAAAAAAAAAACAAACCAACCCACAACCAAAACTGTTAAAAGGCCTAGATGTGCCAGGCTTTCACTGTATAACTACTCTTACATAAGTTAGTTGGCATTAAAAGCTAAGGGCTGTGTCAAGCAATATAACAAACCTCCCCAACTCCCGTGAAGTCACTTAAGCAGTCAGCTCCTTTTATCATGTGAAATTCATTACAGGTCAGAACACACCCAATCCTTTTTCTATGCCTAATAGCAAGCAGGGAGAGAAATCCTTTCCCTCTTCTCTTCAGTAGTTGCAGCAGCCATAGCTGAAATTTGTTTATCTAGAGCACAGACACTGAGGAAAGATTGCGCCCACCTCTCAGGTTACTAGTGTGGAGTAAAGTTATTGTTTATGTGATCTTTTTCATCCCACTGTGAAAACAAGGTCGTTTACCTCCTTAGTAAGCTCACTGTTTTCATAAATGTGCCTGATCTCTTCGCTGCTGTAGTCCGTGGATGTCTCTGCACTGGTAGAGCTGTAGGATGTTAGCTGAGGGTATCTCCGGTAATAATGGCTGTAGCCAGTTGTATCACTTTCATACATGGGGTTGTATTTAACTGCGTTCTCAATGGATGAGAGGCTGTCACCCTGCCTGGGGGAGCAATAAACAAACTGTGAGCTTCTCTGCAGCCTGAAAGGGATTAAGGAAGCCTGGAGTTTGGAGGCACCTGTACATCCTCTTGCTCGTCAAGTGCATGATATAAGATTTGTGACAGGATTATCCTTATTGTAGCAGATGTGCTTTAAAATATTAGATGGTGTCACTTACCCCTGTGAGTACTCAGTGTCACTCTTTGTGTACTGGTCTCTAAGGGTCCTGGCCAAGAAGAAGATGACAGCAGATGCCACAAGAAGGAATCCCGCCACAGAAGCAATTGCAATACCCACTACCAGTGGCTCAGACACATATTCTTCACAGTGCTCCCCTCTGTACCACCAGTTCTCTCCTACACGACACCTGCAAGAAAAAAAAACGGTGAAATCAAACACCAGCAAAAGCTTTGCTTACTGTAAATGTGTTTAACTTCCTGTAGTGATGTGCCCTCAGTTAAATCACCTCAATAGATATGTTTGCATGTTCAAGCACCAGCTTTCTTTTATTACTATTATTATTGTGAACAGCCTTTTTGGTATAGAATCACAGAATGGTTTGGGTTGGAAGGGGCCTTAAAGACCATCTAGTTCCACCCCCCTGCCATGGGCAGGGACACCTTCCACTAGCCCAGGTTGCTCAAAGCCCCATCCAGCCTGGCCTGGAACACTGCCAGGGAGGGGGCAGCCACAGCTGCTCTGGGCAACCTCTGCCAGTGCCTCACCACCCTCATCATAAAAAAAATTTTCTTCCTTATATCTAGTGTGAATCTACCCTGGTTTTGTTTAAAGCCATTACCCCTTGTTCTGTTGCAGCAGGCCCTGCTAAAAAGTCTGTCCCCATCTTTCTTATAAGCCCCCTTCAAGTATTGAAAGGCCGCAGCAGGATCTCCTGGGCGCCTTCTCTTCTCCAGGCTGAACAACCCCAATTATTGAATTGAGTGAAGATAGGTAAAATAATAAAATAATTCATTTGTGATGGAAAAGGCCTATGGTTTTTACAATTTAGAGTATCCTGTGATGCGTTAAAACTGGAAGGTGTTAAACTACGTAAAAAGTTATGCCTTGATTGAACCTCGCACCTGACATATCAAACACTGTAGAAGGCAGAAAGCAGTTGTCTTAATTATATTGTAATGTAAATACAAATGAAGGTGTGTTAAATGAGTAGAATGTTTATAGCATAGTGAACTCCACAATGGTTAAACAAATGCATAAAATAAATTATTAGAAAGAAGTATGCATCCAAGATTGTATCTTTGTAAAGGCTGCTCAAACCAGCATTCAGTATTTCTGCCTTGCTGTGGTTTTGAATGTGAGAACTTTAATGTTAAAACCGACTTTAAATAAACCAGTAATGATAATATATTTGCAGTATGTATGTGTTTGGGAGTTCTTGCTGTAAAAACACAAGGAATTGTAAGATTCACTTAAAGCAGTGAACCTTATTAATAAGAAACATCAGTAAATTAAGTCTTCTAACATAAATCCGTTTCTGAAGGTAGCAAGCAATGTTTTAAACTTTTCAAAAAGTTCTTATAAATACCAGATCATGCCTGAAACATACTTGCCTGTTTCTAGTTAATGCTGTTATACAACTATAATAAAAGTTATACTACATCTGTGATTGTATCCATTTTTGTAGCTTTAAAAACATTTTTATTTCTCCTGTTGACTCCTAGGAGTCTAAGTTTGACTTTAGAGACATTCTAGGTAAGCTTTTAAAACAACAAAAAAAATCACTTGAAATAACATAAATAATAACTACTAGTAGTCATATTCTTTTTTGCAATAAGTCTCCTTTTGTTGATAGGTATATTTTGTTTTTAAAAATAGACTGTTACGTGGCTTGAAAATGGAAACATTAAGTGCAGCATCAGAGGGAGCATCAGTTTGTCTGTATCTTGTACTGAGTCATTCCCTGTAAAATACAGAGATCCTATTCAAATGCATCCTTATCTTTTTAAAAGCAAAAATTTGAACCGGGGGGCCTGTGCCTTGATCTCTATGAACTGCACATGATTATTCCCACATGACCAATGATTTACTTTTATGACTTTTTCTTGATCAAGACCACTATTTTTAATATAATTATGCTGTATAAATGTGCCTTTCAGATACAAGTTTTTAGTGATGAAATTAATTCTCTCATATGTTTGCTACTTGAGAAAATCCCTGAAGATCAAATCACCTTCACTCACCTTTGGAGACAGGATTTAACTGAGTATGTTCCATTACTGCTATTTTTCCTCATTAGTTTTATTTCCTGATGTTTTACGTAGGAAAACTGACATTAATATTGAGACTTCCACTCAGCAACATAACATTAACAATAATCACTTGTAACACATTATCTTACAGAATTTTGCACAAATCTCACTGAATGCTACAACAGAGGAGACAAGAGTTTCTCATAGAGGAAGCCCATGCTTCAAACAGCAGGATGACCTACCTACAGATGGCCCCTTGCCCAGGGCTTATGTCACACTTCCCGTCATTCAGGCAAAAGTTTGGTTGCAGATCACAAATGCTATTGCATGGCAGCCCGTCGATGCTGAGGTAGCCAGGATTGCAGACACACTCGGCTTCCCCACTCCAGCGATTTACTAAGCATTCAGAGAACTCATTGCAGGCCTGGAACTTGCAGGGATCTGCTTGCTCACCTGAGAATACACAGAGCAGAAAATATTCGTGATGGAGGAGAACCTTAACTGAGGCAAAGCACTGGCTGTCTGCTGCCATTTTCTCTAATGGTCTCTTAGGTAAAATAATCCACAAAAATCCAGCATGCATCCTTCCTGAGTAACAAAAGGTTCTGCTAAGGTAAATAAGCACAAGGGAGTGTCCCTCCACACAGTGCATGTCAGGGCTATGGCTAAGACCACCCAACAAGCCAATTGAAAAAGCAAGTATGAAATGTTCTTTTTCTTACTGGAACATGCAGTACCTCAGATTTCTCTTGCCTGTTGGAACAATGTTTTACAAATGAGTAAAACACAGCTGATCTCCAGTATTTCTTGTAGAAAATCTAGGCAGTGTACAGGGGAGGGCAAGGGGACTTGGGGCACTCAGCACCTGCTGTGAGGTGATCTGCCCCTCTCTGCAAGGAACACAAGCTTGTAGCAATTGAGATCTCACCTGTATCGAGCTTAAGACGACTGGTGTACAGTTAAATGATCAATATCAGTTTTGTAAACCATCTTTATAAGAGGGTTATCTCAGAAGAACAGTTACCATTTGCCAACAGGTCAGCACTGTTACTTTCCTCTAAGCTTTAACAGGAAATATTTCTGAGTTGCTTCTATGGTAAACTACTGGCTAACCTGGACAGGGAGAAAACTTTCTCCCTGTACCAGAGGATTGAACTAAGGCAGCCTGTAACATTTTAGTGCAACCATGACCTTACCACAAGAGTGAAACAGTAGTTGTTACCTGTGCAGATACCTACCTGGCAGCTAAACTGGCTACCTACCACACGTGGGAACAATCACACGCACCCCATTCTTGCCTCCCCCCTCACTCCCCTCACTGAAAGTACAGTGGCATTATATAGACTATTACATTAGCCAGTTTTGTCCCCATATTTCTGTATGGGCCCTATATAGTTGGCTCATTCTGGGTCCCACTTTGATTTTCATTTCTTTAATCCCTTAACAGATTTTTATTTGTTTGTTTGAAGTCTGTGAAAGACTGCCTTTCTAAAGCCCAGCCTGTGAAAAGCACAGGGCAGTCTCTGAGCTGCTGGGATTCTTAAATAAGTTCTTAAAGCTGAAGTTTCTTTAAATCCCTTGCTCTAAACTCTGTTACCCTGCCATTCTTACCTGATTCCACATCCAGGGAGTATTTGTCGATGGCCAGGTTCATGGTGTGATACGCAGTGTTGCAGAAGTCTTCTAGGATCACATACACGGCATTGGTGACATTCCGAGGGACGGGTTTGGCAAATTTCATTCGACTGTTCACCACGATGCTGCCATTTCTGAAGTTCAGGATTTCCAGATTCTGGAAGCCCGTCAGATTTGACTGGAGGTAGGGCACCAGCTACAACACAGGGGACGTGACAGAACAGTTGGATCTTTGAATCTCTACTCAAGCCAGTTGCACTGCCACAGCATCAAACAGTGGGAATCTGAATTATTTTATCCAAATCCCACAGCAAGGGCATTAAAACTTTACCCAGCTGGGGCCCATGCTGGCAGCCTCCCAGGAGCCCGAGTACTTCAGGTAGTGGTTAAGAGTATACCAATATGCAGATAGTTCGCAAAAATCTATGATCCAGAAACACAATTCTTGGGACATACAAGATGCTCTCCGTTGATCTAAGAACCAGACATACTCGCCATTTCATAGGGAATTTCCTTCAAGTATGCTCCCACTTCCTTCTCTCGCCTTTGCTCCATCTCCCACAACAAAATGGTTATTTCAGTCAGGAGAAGGGAATATCCCAGTTAAAATTTGGCAGTTGTTGCTGTATAATTCCCGTGAGGCTTTGCTAGCCATCAGTCAGTTTACAGACAGCTTAGTTCCCTGAACTGCCTCTTACTTAGAATGGGTTGAACATGTTGCAGGAAAGCTCCCTCATCACAGACCGTATTTAGTTATTTCTCTCTCCCTAAAAGCTAAATACAGAGCACTCTGGAAGCAAGTGAGGGGAGCACTGTAGTCACTTCAGCTATTCTGATACATTTATTGACACCAGCAGAGCATTTGGCCCATTAGCACTAAAAAGTTGCACTTTAGAGAGACTAGTGACTGACTGAAAGACAAATGTTTAACACACCCCACCCATCCCCATTCCCAGAGTTTTTCCAGGAAGAGACAATATCTGTAAACGCCAGTCCTGAATTGCTCTCCACAAAGGAGAGCCGACAAACTATTATTTACCAACAATTTTTGTGTATCTAGTGATGGACATTTAGCACAGAAGTGATTCTTACCAGTTCCAAGAATCGCTGTTCCAACGCTTTGTATTCAGGAGAGTTTTTATTAAACAGGTCCTCTGAAAACATCATGTTGGTAACCCGAAGGCTGAAAAACACAACTAGAGCTCGTGACGGGACAAGACTATTACTGCGATTGTCATGTGTGGCCCAAGCCACACTGGCCATCTCTGTGGACTGGACACGAGTTGTTAGGTCCACGTGACTTTCAGTCATGCTCTCCCTCTCCTCAGTCAGCTCAGGCGGAAAGTAGACAGGGGTCACATGATCCAGGTCCACTGAAACATCCAGGGCTCTCGTCGTTTCAACTCCTACCCTTGTTGAGGTAGCCACAGATGATGATGCCGTGGATCCCGCAGGAGGGAAATGGGATGGAAGCTCAACAGTGCTTGTTGTTACACTCACCGTTACATAAGAGTTCATAAGAGTGCTGAAGCTCATGGGAACATGCGTGTCATGGTCTATACCACCCTGGCCTGTGAAGGCCTCTAGAACAGTGGTCTGATCCATTACAGAAGGAACTGCAGTTGAAACTTGAGTGGCAGCTGGCATTGCTGATTGCACTGTCTGATCTAACGAGTTTTCTAGTGCTCTGTCAGTGGGCCAAACATCAGCTGGTTTCATCATTGCTGATCCAGTGGCATCTTGGCCTGCCAATGATGAATCGAGGATTTGCTTCTCTTCTGTGGAAACATCAAGGTTTGCCATGGAAGCACCAGGGTTTACTGTGGAAGCAGAACTATCAGAGTGTACTGTGGAAGTGTCAGGGTTTATCATAGAAGTGTCAAAGTGTCCTATGGAAGCGTCAGGGTTCACTGTGGAAGCAGAAGCCTCAGAGTGTACCATGGCAGCATCAGGGCTTACTGTGAAAGCCGAAGTATCAGAGTGTACTGTGGCAGCATCAGGGTTTATTGTGAAAGCAGAAGTATCAGAGTGTACCGTGGAAGCATCAGGGCGTACTGTGGAAGCAGAAGCATCAGAGTGTACCGTGGAAGGATCTGCAGCCAGAATACTTTCTGAAGAGGTTGTGTCCAAACCACCTATTGTAGCAGTTTCAGTTACATCCAACTGGTCCACCGTGAATACTTCTTCTACCACAGTCCTGTCTTCATTTTGGTATTCAACTGCTTTAGAAATGATGTTCTGACCTACACTGGACTCTTCAGGTTGCTCCATACTGATGGTCACTGTAGATGTAAGGAGATGATCTTCCACAGACAGACCTGTATTGTGTGGTGAGACAGGGGCCTCTTCAGTTGGCATGTCTACAAAGGAATGATCCACTGAAGGCTCCAAAACCAATGATGGTTTAACAAAAGAATTGTACACATCCAATGTTTCTGTCTGTGTAGATGGTTCCACAGATGATGGCTCTTCTGTCTGTAACAGAGATACCTGCTGAGTTGTAGTCTCTGGAAAGACAAATATTTCAGACTCATCAAGGAAATCGTCTTTTGTGTTGGCCATACCTTCATTCTCATCTCTAGAAGGTTTATCACCTAATTTATTCCTAGAGTTAAGAATATAGTCTAAGATCATGCCTTCAGGAATGTCCTCAGTTCTGATTAACAAAGACTCATTGTCATCTTCAAGCCAGCTATCAGGACCAGGGTATAAAACTGGTTCCAGTGTTGCTTCTTCCCAAGACCAGATACTTGATTCTATTTCTTTTCCTGAACCATCAAAAGCTGAACCAGAACCATCATCATATATAACTCTGTCTCCAAGGTATATATCAGTTTCATCTTCCATAGGATGTACTTCTAAGGGAAAAGGAAATTCTTCCATAGACTCATGCAACACAGAGTCTGCATCATTACTGCCTGCAGGACTACCTGGAGATAGTTCTTCCTTCTCTGCAGATACCGTTTCTGTAAAATCAGTCTCTATGACTGATGAAGAGGCCACTGTTGGTGCAGAAAGCAGAGGAACTGCATAATCATCTGTAGCTGGAGGTTCTTCAGGCACAAGGTGAGAAGGACTTGAAGGCAAAAGGTCTTCAGATAGTCTAGTTTCTTCAAACACTAAAAACAAAAATAAATTTCCACTTAGTTGTTGTTTATGATAAAAAGTGTCAAATTACGTTCATTTTATTGTCCGGAGATCTGTATTCAGCATGTTTCTTGTGATATATCCCAGCCTTTGTATGCCAAAGTCAGAAGGACCCCTGTTGACCTCTCCCACTTTGCATTCAAGATATTCTATGGGCCAAGTCAAGATGTATGAAAATACTTCTGCACAATTAAACAAGTATTGTGTGTGGACCATTTCCTGAAGGGATAAACAAGTAGTATTAGTTGTTACAAACATTTTACATTAGCATATTGTTCTTGGATACATGCACACAGGAAAGGAAAAAATATCAGAGAAGGATGCCCAATTTTTTACACCCTTCTGAAAAGTCATTTTAGTGAACTATACCTTTGGTGAGTATCAGGAAACACTGACATCCAAATTTAATCTTCAGTAATGGCATTAACTTACCATCTAAAGAATTTGATGCTGAAAGCCGTTCTAGATAGTCCACAGAGTCACGCCCTGACACTGGTGCAGTGACCAAATGAGGAGTCCAATTCCCGTCCTCAAAATTCAGCCCATCAGGCAAAGAAGTGACATCAGCCTCTGAGAAGAGTGGAGATTCAGGTGCCAAACTGACATCAGAGTTTCGATTTTCTGGTCTTGGCTGGATTTCATTGATATTGGACTGTTCAGTATCTGAAGTGGAATCTGGTTTGGTGAAATCAAAGGGCAAGGTATTGCTGACAGTTGACTCATCTGCTGAAGGCCGTTCAGCTAAAAAGGTGCTGTCCTGGAACATAAACCCACTATTAATATTTCCACTATTACAGGGAAAGCATTGGCTGTCCACTTCGGGCTGAACACATAGAGGGTGTCAACAGCAGCCAACAATAAAATCTGACAGTAATGCAGGAGGGGTCACACTGGGAGGGCTGGCAAATATACACCATTTGCTACTCATGTGCACTCTACATGTAAAATGCACATCTTTGTGACATACATTTTGTGTCCAGTTGTGTCCACTAAAAAGGGAAAGAAGCCATTCAGATGGTTTGGAGTGCAGCTTCACTTACGTATTAGGAAATTTACTGACTATACCCACTCAGTTTCCTTTCCTTTGCTGAAAAAATGCATCGGTCCATTTCTAATTAAATCAAAGATAAATGCACACAGGACTGCCTGCCTTCCTGAAGAATGAAGAGGTCTTGACAGCTGTTAAACATCAGCTACATAATCAATACAGTAATGCTATTATCATCATTACTATGATACATAAAACGGTGTAGAAACTGAACTTGAATGCATGCCTGTCCTGTGGCCATTTATTGCTGTATTTTAGTATGTGGTCATGAGAACCCAGGAGGGAAGCAAAGACCATAATGTGAAGAAGAGCATTTAGAACCTGGGATAACTTTAATCTCAAAGCAAAGATGCCTGTGCAGGGTTAAAAAAAAAATAAAAATCTATTAGCGGTAATGATGTACAACAAGAGTATGAACAATAATTTGCAAATTGAAATGTGAAGAAAAAAAATTGGGTTTAAATCTCCAATTTGCACACCGCTTGCTTACTACTTCATACCCCAATTATATTTGGTTTACAGTTAGAATACTTAGCACACTTCATCTTTGAATATTAATTTACTACCACGGTGTCTCATGATGTAATTATATTGGGAAAAGCCAACAAAGAGATTAAGTTATCCGGTCAAGGCTACAAAAGCACGCTGACTGCCTAAACCCCAGAAATTAGTGCTTCACCTACATATTGATGCTGTGCAATAGTCTGATATGGACAAAAAACCCCTGGGGGTATGAATAACTCAAACATTTTCAAAAAGCAGCAATTTACTAGGGACTATCCAATTGCTGATGGTGACTAGTAAAGGTAAGTGGGCAGTGAACCCAGGTTTTTGTAATATATATTACGGTTCGAAACCATTTTACCATTTCTGTAGCTCATCACTCCACTCTTGTCTAATCTCTTCCTTTTACTTGACCAGCATAAATAATAGGAAGATTCTAAATACTTTTAATTTTGAAATTTTACTCCTGGTTGAAACATGGGTGAATTAAATTTTTAACTTCATTCAAACTGCATTTGAGTGCTTTGGAAACAAGCCAGTTAAGGTAGTTTTATTAAATTATTTGTCTACCTGTATTGATCACATTTTTATATCCAGTTGTTATACCACAGCCTCCTCATATTTTTTAATTTATATGGTAACAATCAATTAAAAATATATATATACCATAGACATGTGCTCCAGCAATTATCTTTTTTGGCAGAATTGACCACTATAAATAAAGCTGTAGAAAAAAAGTTACTGTGCAAGATTAGAAACAAATTACACATAGAAATTCCATAAAGAAAGAATAAGGACTACCAGCAATAGCCTCTCAATACTTTTTTTTTTTTTTATGTGAGTATTTAGTTGCCAGGGATTGCACTTCATCATTTATTTGAATGTGGATAGATGTTCCTATGACAACTAACATTATTCAAAGATTCTTGTTACAGTGCAATATATTATATTAACAAGTTTAATATCATATTGGCAAGTTCTGGTTTTCTCTAATGGCTTTTGAAAGCCTTACAAATATGACAGATGACTGCAAACACAGAACCTCCTCTCTGATTTTCCATTTCCTGCTGCCAGAAAGGCATTGTATTCAGCAAGCCAGAGCATTCTACCTGTTACAACTCAACAGAAATAACAAGAAAATACATGTTTTAAAAACTAGACATGATTTTTTTTTCTTCACTTGGGAGCTGTAAAATTCAAAGAAAAGTATGACTGATTGGTTGGTACCATCTGCTAGCAATTAGATGGTGAAATCATGTTAGTCCCACATTATGTCATGAGTATGTATGATAATACAAAATCAACTTATTTTCAAATCAGCTAGGAAAAATTGCAGCAAAATTCTTTTTCATAGGCAACAGTACTACTTAACAGTATCTGCCTGAATCTTCTAAAGCTTTTACATCTGTGGAAGTAATTGACTAATTGTTTCAGCCTTGTTTACTGTTTAAGCATGTTTAAGATTTTCTTAAATCTATCTCAAGTTAACTCCCAAATTATCTGCATATTGCAGATTGTACACAGCTGGTTTTTGGATATAGTCAATATCCTTTAATAATTAGCGGTTCTGACTGAATACACAAATGACATTATTATTCATAGTCCATGATTAGAGAAATGTAACTTCCAGAATTTTTTTCTTGTATATACTATTCTCTAAAACTGGTTTAAAATTTATTATTGCAAAGCTACCTCTACTCTAAAATTTTCTTGCCTGCACATCTGTCAGAATACCCACAGATAGAATGTAAAGATGGCAGAATTCTTTATCTTACTAAAATAAGCATCTGCAACATTTTAATCTAGTTAGATAGCTCTAGTAAAGGAAATCCCCTTCCTGAAAGTTAACTTTAGCTCGTGTTTGTGCACACCATGTTTAAGGCATTTATGTCAAATCCACTTGCATCTTAGACATCAATGATTAGTTTTTAAAACTCAGGGAGAACTGGCATGAAATTAAGGATATTATACCTGTGACTGTTCTAACAATAATACTTGGATTCTGTGAAGCGACCACAAATTTTGCTTCCGTAAAGATTTCAGAAGTTGGCCTGAAATGAAATGTGTCTGTGTTCAGAACACTATCTCATAATGCACTTAGTGAAAACCTACTATCAATCATAGGCAGACCTGGATTTTGTGGCACAACTGAGTTTATTTCTTCTTGGAAGGCACATCTGCGTTACACAAGAGTCCAGAGCAGAAGCTACTGGATAAATCCGTACGCCCACACAATGCTCCACCACTCTGAAACTGTAACTGCCGGCAGAACTAATTGATTTAATCTCAGTGCTGCTGGCACCTGACTTGGGATCTCTGCTTAAAGCCCCTTTGCACTGCACAGACATGGGCCAACATCTGTGTTCTGGGTTGTTCCAGAGGTAATCAGAGAAGATAATTACAACTTCAAGAGTTAAAAAAAGAAACCACTGCCTATTATTTTTCATTCCTGTGTTGGCATTAAGGGGATGGACATAATTTTAAAACTGAATTGAGAATTTTCAGTGAAAGAATTTTCAGTAACAAAAGGAGCACATGAAACTTACCATTTTCTCCCTTCTAGCAGCCAGCTTTAGTGCTTACATCTATTTCTTGCTTTCCAAAGAAAGGTAGATTTGTGGGAAGAATCACATCTTTAGAGCAATTTACAGTCTAAACATTAGGGAAAAACAGACAAAGGAAACCTAAGAAGCAAGGCCTGGCTGTACAGCCAGGAACACGGTACTGCCATGCAATATGAGATGATCACAGAACACTGTTGTGCAACAGATACCAAACCATCAGACAAGAGATTTCACCAGAGGTCTTCCTCCGGTATAAGGTGTGCCTTCATTACTACTTATTCTGCATTAAAAACAGGATAGAGAAGCTCTGGGTGCTGGTTGCAATTCTGCCTTGCTGAGTTAAGTGGTTCAGATGCACCCAAAGGCCACCACTCTGAACCATACTCACATCAAACTCTGGGTGCTCCAGCACAACCGGATGCTCAGTAATCCAGGATGGGTCTTCTGGTGTAGGGCGTAGTAATACTTTCACTGTGGAAATAGAAATACTTGGGATCTAAAGGCTGCAGTAGCAGTGTGAGGAAGTTGTTTCGGAAGACTGAAAAACCCTCCCTCATAACAGATTTGTGAATAAAATCTTTTCAAAAAGTTTTCCAATGAGATTTTGGTTCTGGAAATGGCCCCGGATCACTGACAGGAAGCACAGAGGAAAGATGAGAACAGAGGAGTGGACAGCACTCCTTACCACCTCTAGCGAGACTCTTAAAGGTTCCTGAATAAGCCAGGTATTTCCTTTGTGCTGCTCAAGGGCAACACAGGGCTACTAAGCTGAAGGTCATCTTGGTGCAATGTGCCTCATGTGAACCCCACTCCCCCTTCTATTCCTGTTAATTTTTGGAAGTGCTACTGAAATTGCACACCACAAACCGCTGTGTCAAAGGAAAAAAGGAGGCTAATCTAATGGATTAAGAATGGGATACTACTGCTAATGACTTGGTTAAGATCAGAGCAAAAGAACCTACAACACAGTTGTTGTTTCTTTTAAATTATTCAGAGGGCCACTGAATAATTCACTCATCTGAGATTTATTTTTTAAAACTTCAGATGTGTGGACCACCGATGCATCATAATTAATACCCACCATTAGTAAGCTGGAGAGAGTTAGGGTCTAAAGACAAGGAATTGTTTTCAAGCAAGGCATTTTTCTGGAGGATTTCAGTAATATAATCTTGGAAATCACTGATGGTGTACACAACTGTTGGATTATCCACTATGCCTGTAAAGGAGTTGTCCTCCACCTTGTTGGAATGAAGGTTAATCAGGTCCCAGGTGGCATTGCTGATGACTTTTCCATCAAATGTGACAGCATAGTGAACTTCCACCCCTCTTCAGTTGTACAAAGAGAAAGAGAACACGGATGAGAGATGCAAGGTTCTCCAATGTGTAGCAAACACTGCGATATTTTTTTCCCAAGAAACTCCATCAATACTCTTTTTTAATATAAAAATATATTGTTTTCAAGGATTCTAAATAAAAGCAATTTAATTCCTTTCACACTTGTGTCTGCCTGCCTGTGCTTTCCATCTCTGCAAAGTTCTCAAGAAAAAGGGTACCAGAACCTGACATCTGGATCCAGACCTGTATTGCTACTAGTGAATGGTAGACAGACCACGAGCAGACCAAAACATTGGCTTTCTGCCATCGTCATTAATGGGCCCACCAGCGTGCAGTGGTGTGAGTGATGACTTTAAGATCATTCCAGTGATGGGAATGGCTCTGAGGTACGAAAACAGCCAGGAAAAACAGGCCGTATATAGTAGCAATCTGCAGTAGCAACAGGAAGCCCTGATCACTGTCACTGTGCAGTGTCAATATGCTTGAAATAATGTCTTTAATAGCAATAAAATGGTATTGAATGCATCTTACCATTGGGAACACTTTTCTAGACTCATTTGATCATTTATTCTTTAATGAGCTTTTAATCAGCATATAGTTGAGCTTTTTCCATATTAACTCTCCTCCGTTTTCTTAATATTCTGTTCTTGAATATGTCTGGATGTCGTTTCCCACATGACAGCATAGGCAGCAATCAGATTTACCATACACCAGGCATAAGCACAAGGGAACTTTAGAAAATATAGCATATTTTGGCTGTACGCAGAGCACAGCAAGAAAGTGATCTATGAAGTGTTAGAAGAATGTGCTCCAGAGACAGGTTTTCCTCAATCCACAGAGCTAGGCTGGATTGCTAAAGTAATGGCTCTGTTCAGAGAAGCCTCTAAACCCCCCGCACCAGATAGGACAGAGACATAATCAGCAAACACACTGACTAAACCAGGAGCCTGCTGGAGTTCCACTGCTGGCTCTATCGTTGACATGAGCCCGCCGTGGGCTCACCATGGGCACTGACTGTCAGCAGAGGAAATAAAACAGGACACCAGTAGTGAAAAGGCACAGCAAAGATGGAATACAGTATACTCCTCAAAAGTAACATTTAGATTTAATACAACTGTACTGTCAGTTGCAGTTAATAATTCCTAACTAATAACTGTGACACCATCATCTGGAAAGGGCTAAAACATCTGGTGCTTGGAACACAGCCTTTGTGAATAGTTGCATTCATCTTAGCCTGCAGAAGTGCAGGGTAGTAGAGGATGGCTTTAAGTCACTATTGTTTGTGAAGAGATTTGCATTTTCTAACCTTTCTTCTAAAATTAAAATGCTTATTCTCCGTAAAAATGCTCATGGAAACTGGTTATGCCTTTGCTGAGAAGCAAAAGAAACTAATACATGTAGTAAGTTAAAGGCTGCAGTTCATTTTCTGTCTTGTGAAATTCTTAAAATATGAAATGAGGAAAATTTTGGAGGCCTAACCTGTGTATGCCTGATGAAAAACAAGTCCAGACTGATCCCATCTTCTGCTAAGGAACGTTTATAAAACTACTGATAAGATGTGCAGCACCTCTCACCTTGAAGCAGCTAAGCCATCTGCCTTTGCTGAAGAACTATGGTTTTCTTACCCACTTTAATTTCTATAATAATAATCATCCCATGTCTATTCAAGACTTTGCTGCAAAGTATAAAAACCTTGAGTTATCAATAAGCGATTTTGTTTTCTTTACAAAAGAGACTCCTATACACGAGTTAGCCCAGCAGCTGACTTGTGTTTAGGAAGATTTTCCCCAAAGTCAATTTTTATGATTAGGACTTAAATAAGCAAATTGGGTTTATCTGTAACCAAAACAGATCAGTTACTGGCAGTTTCTGGTAAAATCCCCTCACATAATATTTATGCTGGATAACTATCTCACTCTGGAGCCAAAACTACAAATCCCCAAAAGAGTGTCCTCCAGCTAAACATGTTTTTCCATCTGTACTGTGTCAATATCTATTAAAAAAAATTGTCTTTACCTGTCCTCCTCAGGAAAGCTAAATATAGAAACAGAACAAAACACAACAGCAAAACCTGTTAAATCACTGTTATCATTTCCTTTAAGTCTTCTAACTTTAACAAATCCGCTCTGGTATTCTACAGGGCACACAAATTTGAAAAAGCATACAGCAAAATACTTATAGTTATTCTGCTACATAGCAAACTGTTCTGCTTTTACTGAACTGAGACATTGATCACAAGGAATCCGCAGAGAAGAGCCATCTCACCTTATTGCAAATAATGCAGTTAAATTGCTGTCAGTACCAAGAAAATCAAGGCTCAATAAATTCTACCTAAAGGTTTAGTTTACAAACATGGGTTTTGTCACCACAGAGCTCTGGTGCTTTGCCAGAAATACTAACCTTTATTTGTCTTCTCAAATGAACCAAGAGCTTTCAAATGTATTAGACTGCAGATACCAAGATGGAATGTTTTGCTGCCTTCCAGCCTGGAAACTGAACACAGTCTAGGGTTCCAACCAGAAAACCTTTCTCACTATAGCTGCTTTGTTACCTGCATGCATTCTAGCTAGAATATTCCAGCCAATAAATTCTAAGAAACACAGCTTACAAAGTCTCAAAAACCCCACAATATAGATTAAGTCATGAACAGTCTCATTTGATTCTGACAGTTATATCCAGTCCATTCAAGAAAAATGGTAATTTGTGATCTTTGTACCCCAAAACTCAGACATCAGATGTTTGTTGATCATAATACACAGGATCCCCTTTTTCCTCAAATTAATTTAAAACATCACTCTGTAGCACAAATTGATTTGAGGAAACTAGTTTTTAAAGAAAAAAAAAATAGAGTTAAAACATTGCATATCATTTATCAAACTATTCACCCACCTCTGCTGTGATCAAAGGGAGAAAGATGACTTCTTTACATATCTCAAGCACCAAACTTTAAAGTCATCCCAAATTAACATTAAGGAGTTGAAAAAAGAATTTAAATACACCACATTTTTCCAAAAACGTTTCTGTGTTCTTCCTTGTTTCATACTTATACATGGCAACAATACTGAAGCAGTATCAGATAATAACTTTAAATTAGAAAAGATATCTTTTAATTTTAGAATAGAAATTTGAATAAGAATGCCTTGTCTTAAAATCAGGGCAAGCATATCATGTGAGATTCTCTGGTGGATGCCAGGAGCAAAGATATGATTACATTTACATACATTTCTGTATTTCTATTGCAACCTCTGTGTATAGAGGTACCAAATATGAAAGCACTTGTCCTTTGGTTAATACATTCTAGGAACTTCCACACACATGCCTGACAGTCTTCCTAGTGCGGTGCTGGCACGTGACACCAAACATCATCAGTTTCAATCACCACATAAGCATCAGTATCTTTTTACCGGTAATCCAGGACATGGATGCTTTTGTATCCAGGTAGTCCTTCAAATACACTTTTGATCTATTTTGAGGGGAAAAAAAAAAAATTGACACAGATTTACTCCACCCTACTCATTTAGTGAAAAATCAGAAATATTTCCAACATTTTCTAAAAAATGTATCTGAGTTGTTACTTCTAATAGGAGAAAAATGATTGAATATTCTCTTTCTTTATGGAAGAGTTTTTAGTGACATAGTTTCATTATAAGAAAAGAAAAAGTATGAAGAACAACATCCAGCATTCCCCAAGAACTGTACAGAAACATTCAAAAGGGGAAAAATTCAAACAGACTCTGCACAGATCTGCACTGCCCATAGCAGACTACATTCCCTTATTTATGCAGCACTAACCCTTCTCTGCCCAAAAGGCTTCCATTACTTCCCAAGCCTTTCTGGATTAAAAAGAATTCTGAAAAATACTCTGGACCTTAGCAACTTAAACAAGAGGAGCAGTGGCCACTATAGGAACAGTCTTAGCCTCCAAAGTGGCACTAATGCATTATGTAGTGCAAAACACGGCTCATCTCCACTGCCCTCAACATACAAAGGATTCAGGAGTGATTGACAGTGCTATTCAAAAACAAAAAACAACAAAAAAACAGAGGGCAGCAAAATGGCAGCACATCCAGGCCTAATTCAATAGTGAACTGCATAACACAAGACAAAAAGAAGAAATAGAATATTGAAAGTTCATGACAGTTTGGGGCTTTTTTAATTCCCAAAAGTTCCTTGCCAGTTGAGGATTATTTTTTACTCCTCAAATTCTTCTTCTCCTCCCCAATCTCCCTATTTTTAAACTGTCTCTGGTGAGACTTAAACAATCAAAGTACTGCCAACTTACTTTCTTTCAAGACCTTCTTTATCCAAGCACAGAGAAAACCAGGCAAGGGATCAAAGGAGTGGAACATCTACGTGCCAGGTGGACCCTGTCCCATCTGACATTTCTTACACACACACACACACACTATAGCATTGCTACTTGGCCACACAACTAGGAAAATTAAGATGTCTAGCCTACACTAGCAACTTGTGACAGTTGTGGTGATGCTTTCTGGCTGCAGTGAAGAGTACATCTCTTTCCCATCTGGCCCAGGATCTGGCACAGGGTTAGCCCCAGTAAAAAGGATTCAACAGAGAACCCCAACTAAATAGGACTAAGGAGGAAACAAAGCCAGAGAAAAGGTAAGCCTCACGCTGCGCTGCTGTATGGCACCCTAGATGTCTCTTCCAAGAGAAAGGGAAGAAAACTCTCTGCCCCAAGAAAATGATGGCAACAAAGTTACTATCATTGTAGACAAGAAAAAATACTGTAAACAAGAGAAAGAGGAAGCTTAGGCGACAGCAGTATGATCATATTTCAGATATGCATTTGTGTATTGGTCATCCAGTAACTTTATTTGTAGCATACAAATTAAAACATTACATTTTAATTTGAATGAACTTGAAATCAAATTTTAATAAATCACGCATATATGTGTACATTTATATGTATATGTACACTGTGTTTCTCCTTTGAAGTAGGTGCCTAACAGAACCATGGTTCACTCCCACTGACTCCAATGGGATTTAAGCATGTGTTTAAGAACTAGCTGGAGGGCTTTAAAATGTGCTCACATGCACTGTTGATTCTGGGCATAAATGAGGAGCAAGAGTTGTCTTGACAGCCTCGTTTTCAGAGTATCTCACTGCAGTGCACAACAATTTTTCTTTCATTCAAAGAAATGTCACTCCTGAGCAGAAATAATGAATGAGTTCTGCTCTTTGTGACTTGTTCTAATTTCCCCGTCTATCACCTACTCTGCATAGACAGATTCTCTAGACTGATGCCAGAGTTTCTGCTACAGTCCAAAATCTGGACACTGTGTAATCGTTAAGATATTCTATGTCCCATTTCACTGCTCAGCCTCCATAGGCAGATGCTGATGGACCTGCACGCCGTCTCCCTGTACTCCACATTAGTACTGTGCTACCTCCCAACTACTAGAGCTGCTTTCCAGCACTGCCTCAGCACAGGCTGATGGCTCTCAACTGCAGTCAATTCATGTCCTGCCATTTGAGAGGGCAGGTAGGCTGGTTTGCCAAGACCCTCAAATTATCTTTTTCACTCCCCAGTTTCAAACCAACTACATTATAGAAGAATTCAAACTGAACGTTGTGTTCAGTAAGCACTGAAATAAACTCTAGGCAGACCAGTCACTAGAGAGATGTTAAATGTATCTTTAAGATTTTCAAGTCCTACAGCTCTAAGAACTAATGAAGTTGCATCAAGAGGCAAACAAGAATCTCATCACTTCTCTAAGATTTTAAAAGCTCTACTGCAGTGACACTGACAGAAAGAAGTACTGAAAAATTCTCAAAGGGTGCTAAGGCCAAAGTTACCCCTAGTAGAAACAGTCTTTTAAGGGACTAAAATAATTGGAAATGCTTTTCATTTATTAATAACATCTGTCTTCATTTCTTTTGCTAACATAAGGCAAAGTAAATTAAGGAAATAAAAAAAATGGGGGGGAAGAGAGAGAGCAGTCCCTCAAAAAGGTCCTGTTTAGAGTATGTCCCCATTCAGGGGTTCAGCATAATTTTATGATCCTCCTGAAAGCACACTTTCACCTCATGTGCTGGCAAAAATGAAAGCAGACTATTTCATGAGGAACACAAAAAGAAAACTAGAGTAAGTGGTCTTTGGCAACTAGTATGCTACACACACTGTATGACACTCTGCTGCTTCAAAAAGGCAGCATGTCCAACACAACAGTGTATTCTCATGGTGGGTGAACATCTTCCAGTCTGTCTCAGGCCACAAAAGCCCAAAGCTGGTTCTGCAGAGCCCACAAGAAAAAGGCAGCCCCGACACAGGTGCCAGGTGCTACCATTGATTTGCAGAGCCAGCAAAACGAGAAAGAAAGTCAGGGAAGGTAATCACCTGAGAAATGAATTGTTCAGAGAGCAGCTGACGCTTCACAGCAGCTGGGTCGCTCAGCTCCTCACTGTACTTTTCACCAACAATCAAAATGCGGAACTCGATCATTTGCTCAGTTACAGGCCTCACTAGCTTCTCATCCTCCTTCTTTATCTCATTATTGATCTGGAAGAGAAGGAAGAAGGGAGAGAAGAAAAAAAAAAAAGGGAGATTATTTAATGCCTTTTTTTTAATGTTTTGCCCCTTGGGGTTTTTTCAGATAAATAAATCCTTGTTACTACATACCAGATTCCCTATCCTGGATTTACTCCATGTAAAAAGCATCCCTAGATACATACATGTACACGTGATCTGCCATCTGTCAATGGCACACGACATTCCTCAACTTGGAGCCAAACATCTTTCCTATGTGGGTCAAAAATTTCTCCAGCTGCTGCAAACCTGGAGGTTTCTCTGGCTCATGATGGGGCAGAAAATCTGGGCCCTCTCCATTAATGCTGTATGGGCGGGAACCCATCAGGGCACTATTGGTGGCCCACACTGACGGTCACAGACCTGCTTAATGACATGTGAAAACTGCTGCCCAAAGCACAGCTCGCCCACTTGAGCCATCAGCACACCTGTTTGCCGTGCACTGTAATGGAGTGCTCATGGAGCCTCCAGGGACAGAGGCGTCAACTAATGAGGCAATCTACTAAGCAAGAACATTTTTTGAGAACTGCTGTATTGCAGATAATACTGTTCTCCTTTTGCACATCTTTAGTGCAAGGCCATCTACTTGACCTCAGCTACAAACAGAAATCCAGTTGCGTGGGATGTTCACGAGGCAATTTAGAGTGCAACCATGGATACACAAGCAGCTCATTTGAACCAGTCACCAGTTGGCTGCTTTACCCAAGATCTACTCATTTTTCACAAGGCTCCTACTTACTCTGTCACCTGGAAGACAAGTTACCTTTGCCAAGTTCTACGTTCCCCCTGTGTTGTTCAGCCTCAGTAAGCAAAGGATCCTTCCAGATAAACAGTGGGCACTGGGAGATCTGCAGGGACCCCTGGGGAGCTCAAGTGGTGTGCCCAAGGCAGCCCACAGCAGCGGCTGTGCAATGCATCAGGGAAGGGTGCAGCTATCATGGCTGCCACAGGCAGCAGTGAATTCCAAGTTTAATCTAACCTGAATGACTGAGCACACAGGAAGAACATTTTCTGCTTAGTTCCCTATTATTTTACAACCAGCATAGGATTCCTTGTGGTATACCGATAGACCAGATCTTGTTTCACGATTCTGTTCTAAAATTAAAAATTGAGTTTTGTGGGGGAGGGAAGGGAAGGCTAGGCTAAGTTACCTTTAGCCAAGTAGCCAAATGTCTTTGGCTATTTACATGAGTTGTTGCTTTTTCTCCATTAAAAAAGAAAACAGAGAGCCAACAAAACAGACCTTTTCAGCAAAACTGCAGCCTGTGTTATATATGGTGCAGGAAATGGAAAAACCTTTCTCCAAAATGTTTAGCTGCCATCAGCACGCAACTTGTACAGTGTTTAGGGACCCTCTAAACATTTTTAGTTAAATTCTCCTCCTGCCCCCCATCCCTTTTTTACTAGATAACTTTGTTAAGGACCATAATGACTGGTACACTATTTAAAGATCGCATCTGAGATAACACATACCTAGCAGGTGTATAAGTGCTGCTACTATATGGCTGTTTGCAATGCCATGTAGTTTCAATCATTTATCAGTCCCCCCCAAACCAAAAGTACAGTCAACATCTGAGTGCAGAAGATGAGCTTTGCTCACTCTTGGTCTTGTAATCTGCAATGGGTTTTGGCTGCACAGAGCAATGAGGAAGTGTGATGTAACTGTATATAGTGAAAACATTGTGGCAGCAGCAATCTAACTCTAGTTTCTTTCTGATTTACTGAGAGGTCCTATTGTCTGCTCAGGCAAAAATGCTTCAGGTAGTTCTGTTTCAAAAAGAATAATGGTGTACATGGGACCAAGCCACAATTGTTCCTGGTACATAATATAAAGTCAGACCCTGGACTTGAGTCAGAAACTGTCTGCCTGTGTCATATTCAGTATTTATTCTTGGAAGCACAGTATCAGAGCTCCACAATCAGCCCTGACAGCTCTAGAAGAAAGTACAGCTTGGCCCAGGTTTGTTCCACGGCCATACTAGGTTACAGCACAGTGCACAGTTAAACCTGGTACCAGAAATCAGCTTCTACTTATATGGAGCATGTGCAACTCTGTAAGCTGCTCAGTAAATCCACTTAGAGTTTAATTTGTAAGAAAGCAAAAGCCAGCTGATTCATACCACTGGTTTGCAGAATTTTCTTCAGTCATGTAGGCCCATGAACATTGCAGTTGGATTCTAGACTTTAATTTTAATCCAGAGGAGCTGTTTCCTGGAAGCAAATACTCCCCTGGGACGTATGTGGTGGTCAGCTCTTCTAAAAGCCAGCTTGCTTTTACAGAGACATTTGAAGTACTTGATGTAGGCTTCCCTGTGTCAGGAGTTTTATTTAAGTATCAAGGTAAGGGTGACTGTAAAATGATAAATAATAGCTCATCTATGTCAGCAGAGGAAAAGGAGCAGAAAATCAGAAAGGATCTTCAAGATTACCCAGGCCATCTCTCTGCTGTCCTACACAACTGTACCTCGAAACACTACTACAGCAGTTTAAGGGGTATTGTGTTTCCGTAGGAATAATAATGCTCCGCATTCTTCTTGGAGCTCTCAGAAGCCCTTGGCATTCCCTGTTTAGTCCCATGTCACTAGCAAAATCCCGCCTGATAGCTCAGCTGATCTGTTCTCTCTCACTGTCAGGGAAGTGGCACTGCAAAGCTTCTGCAAATGAAAAAATACCTACCCAGGAAATTATTTTAAAACTTTCTAAAGCTTATGACCTGTTTTTATGAAATCTTAATTTCATAAAAAAAACTTCACTATGCTAATGCCGCCTTTAAGTACTAGGAAATGCAAATGACCATAAACAATATTATTTAGGAAAGGCATCAGAATGCTGAACCAAATGAAAAAAAATCACTCACAGTAATGTCTGCTTCTTCAGTCTCATAGGTGGTACCACCCGCAAGACTCCCAGCGGAGATCTCATGAGGGGGAGGTACATTGGCAGCTGCATCTGAGTTTGAAACAGAGCAGTATTATTTTGTTTGCAGGTTTTATTTTTTTTAATAGCCATGTAGATGTAGATACACAGAGAAGCAGTTCAGCAAGCATCAACCAACAGTAAAATTTGATTCTTATTCCCATCTTGATGATAGAAACAACACAGGAAACACTTGAAGAGCCTGAGGAGAAGTATCAAATACACTAATCAGAATAAAATGCTAATGTTCTGTCTAAACAAATGTATTTCGGGGAACATAAAGTTAAGTGCAGTAAAAAGTGTAGACAGCTAATTTCTCAAGTAGGATTTTCCTGTTTCATACAATAACAAAATAATGTCAGCCTAAAACGTGATCTCTAGATCTCAAACAACATTATTTGAGAAGCAAAAAATCACAGTTCTCTCTAAAATCCAAACAGCATTGAATTTCTCAATTTTCTAGTAATTCAGAATCAGCCTTGACAGGAGTTAGATGAAAACTGACCTCTTAATGTGGTGACATCAGCATCTGGAGCTGGAGTTGGAGTTCCACTACTGCTAAATAAAAATAAAACCAGAAATTGAAGTTGGACATGCTGAGGTAGATTTATTAGGTTTTGAGTTATCTTTGATTCTGCTGCCACGGCAAAAAGTATGTTTGCAGAAGAAATTTCTCATTATACTACTTTGCTGATAACTTCATAAAAATTAGGCTTTGCAATATTTCAGTTATATTTTGCACCTTAGATATTGGGTCACTTGCATCACACAATGCATTGGTTGCCTCTCCAGGTGGCCAACCTCCTTATATTCCAAATGACTTGGAGTCCCGCCCAAAAACACATTTTGCCCTCTAGCAGCTCTGTAAAGGAAGTGTGAAGACCAGAGATAAAACACAAAGATAACCTGTAATATTTTATAAATGCTCAGTTTTTGAAATGTTCTCCAGTGCACTAAAACATCATAACTGTACTGAAATCACTGCAAGAAGATGGGTTCTCTTTGCCATGACTTTTCCTCTGTTTATTTGGAAATCATCAAAAGGCATTAGTATCCAAATCCAATTATTGCATTCACACACACATAAAACAACTCTAGGCCAAATGTGAAAAAGGAAAACATTTCAGATAAAAATCAGATTAAGACTGTCAGTCTGAATTAAAACTAACAACTTTGACATGCCTCTTACAGTAAACCCAATGTCCTTGAGGCCAATCCTGTAAGCCTTGAGCAACTGTCAAGTTACCAAGAGTGGAAGACATGCTCTGACAGAAACAAGTCTTTCCTGAACGAAGAAAACTGATTTTTCAGGTTTGACATATTTTTAATATATACAGCCCAATCCGTAAGATTGGAAGTTTAAGTGCTGGAGAGAAACTGAATTTCAGACTTCAGAAAAATCATTGAAGTTCACTGTATTGAGATATTTCTCTCACTTCTAAAGGAACTCCTTTTTTATTGGTGGTCATACTTGTGCCATAAAATAAGCTCAGTATCAAGGAGTCTTCACTGTAATATATGCGAGCACTGATACTATGTGAGCCACGGTTCCTAGCCTTGCCAAGTTTAACTTTTGATTCACATACTAGGTGACTGGTCTTGCCATCTGTCCTCAAGCAAAACTTCTGTCAAAGTTGATGGATATTTTCCCTTCTTCAGGACATATAATCTGTCTCTGTATCACTCAAAAAAATAAAGGCTTCCAGCACCAGCCAGGTAACCAGATCCAAAGTTACATACTAAAGATACCAATGCACAAGCATATGATCAAACGTATGATTAGTTTCACAGAGTTAATATCTCACTGTTTCTCCCTCTGCCTCTCCCAGACACATAACACTCACCAATAAACAAACCTGAAGAAAAAATCTGTGGAATTTGTAAGTTCAGGAAATGTTAAACTGACAGGTTGAGATCTACGTAACAATTAGAAAATATTAATGAAAAAGAGAATAATCTCTAGATGAACAAAGCAGAAAAATACTTATTTAAGAGTTTAAACAGTACCTTCATGTATATTCTTGAACAACTGAAGTCGATGAGCAATATGCAGGCTTTGATATATACAGTTATTTGTGTCTGCTTCCATCTTGTGGACATTGGTACCTGTTCTCAACCAGCATAGTGCAAGATAACTGTGCTGATTCTTTGACAACCTCAATAAATCTTGAAATGATTGCTAAGACTGGAAAGCCAGATTTTACTAGCAAGTATAATTTAGACAAGATATCCTCTGCTATTCTCTCTGCCATTGCCATCACACATATAAAGAGCCACAAGTAACTCATTCAAAAAACATCAGCTTCTTTCTGCTAAAAAACAAACAACCAAAACTCACATTAAGAGGATTTAGATTTTCTTAAGATTATTATATTTTAGAGGGATTTAGTTTCCTTACATGTTTATCATCTTAGAACTGAAATTAAAACTACTGCTTAATTGATCAGATGAAATATTTTCCAATTAAATTCACAGAATCATCTAGGTTGGAAAAGACCTTGAAGATCATCCAGTCCAACCGTTCACCCAACATTGACCATTCCTAACTCCAGCAGATCCCTCAGTGCTATGTCGACCCTAGTCTTAAACCCCTCCAGGAATGGAGAATTCCACCACCTCCCTGGGCAGCCCATTCCCATGCCCAACAACCCCGTCTGGAAAGAAATGCTTCCGAAGAGCCAGTCTAAACCTTCCCTGGTGCAACTTGAGCCATTCCCTCTTGTCCTATTGCTTGTTACTTGGTTAAAGAGACTCATCCCCCTCTCTCTGCACCCTCCATTCAGGTAGCTGTAGAGGGCGATGAGGTCTCCCCTCAGCCTCCTCCAGACTAAACCCCCCCCAGTTCCCTCAGCCGCTCCCCGTACGACCTGTGCTCCAGACCCTGCACCAGCTCCGTTGCCCTTCTCTGGACACGCTCGAGTCATTCAATGTCCTTTTTGTAGTGAGGGGCCCAAAACTGAACACAGTCATCGAGGTGCGGCCTCATCAGTGCCGAGTACAGGGGTCAGATCCCTTCCCTTTCCCTGCTGGCCACGCTATTGCTGACACAAGCCAGGATGCCATTGGCCTTCTTGGCCACCTGGGCACACTGATGGCTCATTATCAATCCCCCCCCCCAGGTCCCTCTCTGACTGGCAGCTCTCCAGCCACTCCTCCCCAAGCCTGTAGCGCTGCTGGGGGTTGTTGTGGCCCAAGGGCAGCCCCCGGCATTTGGCCTTATGGAAACTCCCCCAGTTGGGCTCAGCCCATGGCTCCAGCCTGTCCAGGTCTCTCTGCAGAGCCTCCCTACCCTCGAGCAGATCAACACTCCCACCCAACTGGGTGTCATCTGCAAACTGACTGAGGGTGCACTCGATCCCCTTGTCCAGATCATCAATAAAGATGTTAAACAGGAGTGGCCCCAACACCGAGCCCTGGGGGACACCACTCGTGACCGGCCGCCAACTGGATTTAACTCCGTTCACCACAACTCTTTGGCCCGGCCATCCAGACAGTTTTTTACCCAGTGAAGCGTGTGCACATACAAACCTCAAGCAGCCAGTTTCCCCAGGAGAATGCTGTGGGAAACAGTGTCAAAGGCCTTGCTAAAGTCAAGGTAAACAACATCCACAGCCTTTCCCTCATCCAATAAGCAGGTCACCCTGTCGTAGTAGGAGATCAGGTTTGTCAGTCAGAACCTGCCTTTCATAAACCCATGCTGACTGGGCCTGATCCCCTGGGCGTCCATTATATGACTTTTAATGGCACCCAAGATGACCTGCTCCATGACCTTCCCTGGCACCAAGGTCAGACTGACAGGTCTATAGTTTCCTGGATGGTCCTTTCTGCCTTTCCTGTAGATGGGTGTCACATTTGCCACCTCCAGTCCAATGGGACCTCCCCAGTTAGCCATGATTTCAGGTAAATCATGGACAGCGGCTTGGCGAGCACATCTGCCAACTCCCTCAGCACCCTTGGGTGTAACCCATCCGGTCCCACAGACCTGTGTGCACCCAGGTGGTGCAGCAGGTCTCTGACCACCTCCTCTTCAACTGTGCTGACCTCAGTCTGCTCCCCCTCCCCATCTCCCAGCTCCTGAGGCTGGGTGTCCAGGGAACAGCCAGTTCCACTGCTAAAGGCTGAGGCAAAGTAGGCGTTTGGCACCTCAGCCTTTTCCTCAGCCTCAGTTACCATGTCTCCTTGTTTTCTGCCACATGGGAACAGCCTGCTCCTTTGCCTTTAAGACTTCGCTCTTGAAGTATGTCCAGCCTTCCTGGACTCCCATATCCTTCAAGGCAACTTCCCAAGGGATTTCACCTAACTCCAAGGATGCATTACTCTTACCAATTTCAATAGGCATTAGATTATATCTATACCAGAGTCTCACCAAATTACAGCATCAATAACTAAAGCATTTTAGTGCATCATGTTTAATGATGGTATGTTCAGAAAAAAATATGATTCTACTTTTCAGGAGAGGTGAAACAATATGGGATTTTACTTATTACAGACTGTTTAGTGTAACTAAGGCCAGAATAAAAACTCAAAAAAAGCCAAGTGATGTGCAGTGGAACAACTCTGCTACAGGATTTCTGATGTTCTATTCAGCTGAAGTGCTTAAATCCATATATAAACATTAGCTAAGCCTCGTATCACTCTCTTTCTCTTTAAAAGGGGACAGTGAGAAACATGACTTGCTGTGGTAGGCTCAGAGCTCAACTTGAGTCTCCCAGGACTTTATCCAGCTGCCCACGGGTGAGTGCCTAACATTCTTCAAGGGGCCTCCAGCACTCCTGACCTCCAGCTGCTGCCCCAGGAGGCACAGGTCACCCAGGGCTCCCACGCCACCCCTGTCAGCCTTACACAGGTGTGTGCTGTAACTTAGGGCACCTCAAAAGGACCTAAGTGACTATCTGACCAACTGAACTGAGCACCCAATTCTGCGGTGGGTTAGCCTCAGCTAAGGGCCAAACACACGTCCGCCTGCTCTCTTACTCCCCCTTCTCTATGAGAGGGGAGAAAATAAGATGAAAAAGCTTCTGAGTCAAGACAAAGACAGGAAGATTGCTTACCAACTACCTCCACAGGCAAAACAGGCTCAGCTTGGGGAAAATTAATTTATTGAATATTTAAATAGGTTTGGGTAGTGAGAAGCAGATAAATGCTACACCATCACCGATCCTCCACCCTTTTCCAGGCTCAGCTTATCTCCTGACTCCTCTACCCAGCATGGGCTCTCCAGGGACAGCAGATCCTTCAGAAAATGTCTACTTGCTCCTGTGTGAGTACTCCCTGGGCTGCAGGGAATACCTGCTCTGCTGTGGAGTGCCTCCTCCCCCTTGGACCTTGGTGTTCCCTATCCCACCATTTCTTTTTTGTTGTTGTTCCCTCCGCCTCTCCCTGTGCAGTGTTTTTACCCCCAAGACACCGCCGCCATCACCAAGGGGCTCAGCTGTGCCCTGCAGTGGGTCCATTGGAGCCATCTGGAACCAGCCGTACCCAGTTTGAGGCAGCCTTGGCCTCTCCTCACAGAGGCCATCCTGCAGCCCCCCCCCCCAAAGCATCTGGGCACCCACACCCAGTACAGTTGTGTTTGCCAATGTACCCAATAAGATCAATTTAAACTAAGTTGCTTGAGTTTTAAAAGAAAAATCCTCAAAGTATACAAGAAAAACAAGAGAGAATGCTATGGTACAAACCACACTTTCAAAGGAGCAGCAGTTTACAAGTGGAAAAGCCTAAAATTAGCTTTCTAGAGTAAAGTATTAATTCTAGATTAGATTATCAGTGATAGATGTATCAAAATAAAATTCTCCAAGTTTCAAAGGTGCCAGAGGACTCTCTCGGTCACTGACTCACATGAGTGGCAGCTCTCCAACGGGGCGCTTCGCTTAGTAACATCAGTTTAGGCACCAAGTTAGCCACATAGTGGCAACCACAGACCAAACCGGGCCACAGGGCAACCATAAGAATGCTGAAAAGTGAGCTGAGAATAAGGTCGCTCTCCTTTACAGCGTAGCAAACCTGTCACCTTAAGCAGCAACAGGCCACACTCTTTGTCAAGGCCAGGTAATGCATTCTTACTGGCACTAAGGGGGTTTTAAATACAAGTCCCCAAGAGCTAACTGATCTTCGGACAAAATTCTAGCTCACATCTGGCTGAAAATTTAAAGTCAAGGGCTTAAATAACACCTAGCGAAACCCTAATCAATCTAACCAAACAGACCAGTCAAGTACTGAATTTGTTAAAATTAATTGTTCCCACTTTTTTTCTCAGGAGGATAAAAATACTGTTTTAAGAAACTTTTATAATCAACCTCACTTTATGGACAACATTGTTTTTTCATTGCTTTACCAGAACACTGAGGTTTGCTTTCTTTTTGCATCCATTTCTTTTTGCCTTCTACTCCCCTTAACATTTTAATTTTTCAAAATGCCCCCTTTATTAATCACCTAAAAAGGCAGCAATAGTACTAGGTAGCTCTAAGGAAGTCAATCAAAATGCACAGGACAATGCATATACTGATTTGCCTGAACACACAGTTTTTCAAGGTAAACACAGATTCAAATTTGCCTTCAGTCACACCATTTAAAATATAAGGGATTTTTTTTTTTTCCCCCCAGAATTAATCCAGGGCCCAGGCTTTATTTTTAACTATCTACACAAGCAAGCCACTGCAGGTGGAGGGAATGTATTTTGGCAAGAGCTTTTTGTGAATTTGAGACATATATATATATATGAAATGTAATTTCTATTGTCCTACCTGCATGAGTGATGCTCTGGGCCACCTTGTCTGAGGAGTAAGCAAAATATATAAAACATACACATGTGTATGGAGAGGCAGGAAGGAATATACACAAGCAGATGTCTAAGCAGAACGAACAACACTGCACTGAGTTTCCTTGGCAGAAACAACCTGTTTCAGATCACACAGCTCTGTTAGACACCAAGACCTAGGCTGGTGTAAGACAAGACCTATAAGGGCCTCAGAAGTTGATCTGAAGCAAACAGTGCTTATGGACAGCCTATATATATATATATATAAATACAGCAAACACAGCTCAAAAATACAGCCTATGTTCCCCTTTTTCAAACCCCATGGTACGTACTTCTGTGTGACATCAGTCATGTCAGGAAAAATCTCGATAGTTTCCAGTCCACCAAAGCATATACAGAGTCCCATCGACTCATAGGCAACTGTAGAGCCTAAGTAAGTTCTTTATGTGCAGCCATGCTGTGTTATTAAGGAGAAATACCACACAGGACCTGTCAAATGGGGCATTGGTGATACCATTTCACACACACACCACCACCCCACCATCTCCCCCTGGAGTTTTATAGAGGTATTATTCGGATTTTTCTCTATGTTGCTACTCAAGGTTTAACACAAACTCAACTTTGTGGTTGAAGAAGGTAACATCTTCAGATTTGTACTACACATTCTGAACATCTATCAGTTTGTCAATGATTGATATCATTGTTTATCAGTTTGAATGTCCTAAAGTCTAATTTGCTGTGTCAGGCATTTATCTTTCTTAAACATTATTTCAATGGTCTTATTGCAGAATGAAGGGAAACTCATTTTATGGCCTGATTTTCTCCTTTTTAAATATTTTAATCACACATTGTTGAACTAAGTAAGCATGCAATTTTAGAAGTATTTTTATGCAAGTACAGAATGCAAGACTGAGACTTGTATTAAGATTCTTTTCCTTTTAAATTGTACTTGCATTTATCTTAATTTTCATTTAGGTAGTTCTTGAATTTTTACTTCTTTTGGTTTTAATTAAAGCAGGACAAACCTTTTATATTTGCTACATGATAGTAGGGAAAACAAAAAAAAATATACAACTGAAAAGGAGCAGTGTGGAACTCTTCACAGGGGGTGCAGATGCTCAAAAATTTTATGAAACGAGCAATGTCATTGCCAAGTCCACATGCAGACAGTAAATGAGCTCAGGTATGTTTTTACTTCACTGCAGGCAGAACTGCTGAACTGTTGAAATGATCTCAGCACAGAAGACAAACTCTTTTTCTTTCATGAAGCACATTTAGATTAAAGGTACAAAATTTAGGTGGATACATCACCAACCATTGCTGCCACCACTGATAATATATGGAACCTAAATTTACCAATGTAGGTCGAAGCAGAGAACATTGACAGAACAAAGGTCCAGACATAATTTATTGTGACTAATTTCAGCTAGTACCAGTCAGAAATGACACATGCTTCTATTTATTTCATTTGACATTAATAGCCATTTCTGAAGAAGTGAAAAAGTAGTGCATTATACTCATCCTTTCCAACTATCCCCACACTCCTTATCTTTTCTTCAGTATGTTATTGTGTATGCATCACTAAAGCAAGGCTATGACCTAAAAGCTCTAGTTTTCTACTGCAGCAATTTTGTGCTTACTCCTTTGCCTTCAGTTGCATCTCAAGATCTGACTTCCGACCCTCCAGGAATTGGACAAAATGACTGTGTTATTGTTATGAGACATACTCCATAATATTAAGAGAGCATCATGCAAAGTCCCAATGGGCTACTGAATAAAGCAATCATTAAAAGTCTTTAGATAATGTAGTGCTTCGACACATCCAACTGGTGCAAAACTCTACAATGTCCAGTGGGCTGCTCTATACACATCTGGATTATATCCCATATATTACTTTTCCTTTGAGGTTTTTCTCCTCAGCAGTACTTAGCTTAATCCCTCAGTTCCTTAAAAGGCCAGTCTAGCTGAGCATTTAACCTACATGAACGCATGCACTAGCCTTACAGGAACAAACTTTCATCTTGCTGTTACGCAATTGTCAGTAAAGCCAGATTGCGAGTTATTCTGAGAAGTAAATCATGCAAGTATAAGCCACCTTTCTGTAGCATACACAAAAACTACCCTAGCATTAACTAGCTGAAACCAGCTTTTTCCAGCTAGACAGAGACACAGTATTGACATCGATGTAGGATTATGAGATGCATTAAATTATTTAAGTCACAGCTTCAATTCTACAGATGTTCATATTTCAGCATAGTTTTGCTTTAATCTAGAAAGGTAGTGTAGTTAAAACAACCAGCAGATATCAAGGCTCTGTCTTCCATTCCAGATCAGCCCCAAATTAAGAAATCATTTCACAGAAACAATTGTTGCACAGCAAAAAAAAAAGATTAGCCAAAGCTTGTAAAAAGAAAAAAACTTTTTTAGCTTCTCGTGCCTGGGCTATGCTCTAGAAAACAAACTTAAGGCAAAATTTTCTATATTCTTATCAGTGGGAAAACAGACTGAGAAATAGGCCTAATGCTAGGCCAGCAGCTGAAATGACTGCTTCTGCACATTCATCAGAAAAACGAGTTCACCAGAGAACGAGTCAGAGCACCCCTGCTAGATCCCTGCCTCAAGGCATCCTCTGGAGAAGCCTGTCCCTTCTCTGGCCACGCGGGAGCCTCACCTGATCAGCTAGATACCCAAAGCTGGTGCATTAGTGCAGCCCTGCCATCCCTTGATTCCCTGTCCTGACACAGATGGCACAGTGGGGAGGCGAGACAGCCACAGTCAAATCACCGCATCGCCCCGCACTGGATCAGCCTCTCCCTGCACAACAGCAGCTCTGCCCAGGAAGCGGCAGAACCCGCTCACATCTCCTGTGCAGGAGGGACGCGATGCTGGGTTTCCCACACTGGGCCTTAGGGGCTGGACTTGATCCTGGGTTGGGTACTTTGTCTTATTACAGAACATTTTAAAAGGTCTTAATTTTATTCTGATGTGTACTGGGAGGTCTAGTACATTTTTGCAGGAAATAATGACCTTGCCTGTTGGCAATACTGAGATGGCTTGCTGTGGTGCCTCAGGCCCTGCCAAGACCCGAGACCACGACGCCGTTGTCCCTCCCCCACCCTCAGACTGGACAGGGCAGGGAGCAAGATCGGGGTTGGGATGGGGAAAAAATTAATACAACAGTGTAAAAAATGATAAACCAAACAACAACAATAGCAATAAGCAGTATTAACAGTGATCAGGACAAAAGATATACAGAGCTATACCAACAGGACAGAGCAGCCCCATCGCGCGTGCTCTCAGGGACAAAAGCCACACACAAACTGTTGTCACTCTTGGGCGCCCGGACCTGAATCCCTTCCCACTGCTGGGGAAACTCAACCCTATCCTAGCTGAACCAGGACACTTGCTCACTCCTCTTGATGGAAGATGTCTACAGTTAGATGAGATATCTTCTACCCATCACAGCCAATCATGGCTGTGTTTTTATATGACTCTGGCTTACAGACTTCACATCTTTAACTACAAATACTCTAAGATGGCCAAAACACTCTTAGGATAATTTTGGGGTTTTTAATATTGCCAAAATAATTTATATGAATTTATTCCTGATGCTCTATTATCCAGAGCAAATCTGCTTGCTTCTGTGTCATTGATTCGGTCCCATATCACTCTCTTTATGCTATAAAACAATATCATATCCAAGCACAAGACAACTTTTAGAGGAAAAGATATAGTAAAACCAAAGTTTAAACTGACTGTGATAACATCCCATCCTAAAGCTATGAACAATCTGAAGTAATATATACTGGGATAAAAGCAGTGTATTTTTGAGACAGATGCAATACAGCCCCACAGTGAATTAAGTTGGATGAAGTTTGCCAGTTGTCTACTGGAGCCCCTTTAATGCCTGTCACAAAGCACTTGATAACTTTTGTACAAAAGTACCACATTAATCACTCTGATCCTCCTCTCAGTCAAATGTTGAGCTTTTTGCATTGTTAGGTTGTTTAGCCCAGTGCATGCAGTGACTCTGGATTAGTGTTTACTCTAATTCCTCTCTGCATTTACTAGATTTCCTGAATGATCACATAGAGCTATACAATAGGTTTTCAAACCCAAACTTCTTCTGAAAGATTAATTTTTTCAGAGTCTTTGACATTCAAACTGAGATAACTGTATCTCTGAATTCACACTTCCTGATAAATAAGATGTGGTTCCATTCATGTAAAGAGCCAGTCTAGAGAATGACCGGTGCTAATGAGAAAGAATTGGACCCACAAGGTTTACAGGGACAAGATTTTTATTATTTGTTTTAATTTCCTCTTTGACAAGAAAAGCATATAAAAGTTTAGTCAATGCTCTATTCTCAACAGAGAAAGTTCTGAACAGATGTACACTACCCAGTTGTCCAGAAGGCTTTGGGGAGTGCTTTTGTTCAGCTCAACAGGACAGAGAGAAAACAATCTATTAGGAATAATTTTGTCCTTATTGTCTCAACTTTACTAATTTTAACATACAATGTTGTGGTTATGAAATTATTATGAGGATACCTAATTTGGGAAGTTGGGGGGCAGGGGAGTGGGTGTTAAGGTCTGTCAAGTGATAACTCTTCCCTGTAAATGAATTACTCATATTTATCATAGCTTTATGTGGCTTGTAAAGCAGGGAATTGAACCTGCCCGTTTTCCAGATGAGTTCAGCACTAGGTTGTTTGGGTTTGAATTGCTCTAAAAATAACAGCTTAGATTAAGTTCTGAGTAGGAATGGAGTAATAATTTGAACTGGTTTTCATTTCAGTTCAAAGACATGAAAATAACAGGTTAAGTTCAGGTTTACTTTGGTAAAAAAAAAAGCCACAATTCAGACCAGTTTTCATTTTTATTGCCTTGTTAGGAGTGTGAGGAGCCCAAGCAGCCAACTCCCTTGAAGCTGTTTTTAGAACACCTCTCTCAAAAAAGTTTTCTTTAAAACGCACTTCAAAAACATTCCACTTTTTTGGTTTTTGTAACAATGACCAGGACTATCTTAAAGCCTTTAGGAAAGGTTCTCAGGATAACCAGAAGACAAGTATCTATGGATATATCTCTCTCCCAAAATAGATTTCCCCCACTAAACCTCTTCAGGTAAACAGCTTGCATCTGTGCCCAACAGCCAACAAGGTAATGACATAAGCAAAAGTACAAGCCCCAGACTTGCTGAGATATTTTGAGCATGCCAAGCATGCCAGGACAGAGGTTCCCACACAAGAACCTCAGGATCTCTCCACAACACTCTTCTTCATGCCCTTTTGCACAAAGGTGAATTTTGTTCATCTTAGGTGCATGAATCAACTCCAGCAGCAGCAAGAACTGGAGAAAGGACCTATCAGGAGCCTTTAAAAAGGGAAAATTACTTACCCACATGACCAATCAGTGCAGGAGCTGACAATAAAAAGAAAGAAAAGGTTACAGAATGTCACAACTCAGCCCTGTTGTTCTCTCCAGAGAGAATAAAAGGCAAGGCAAACACAGATACTCACCTGCCCATTGTTTCCTTTGTATAGGACTGTTTCTAGAAAAGAAACAAACAAATCCTAAGTATATTTGAGTATCATAAGGTGAAAGGAATTCAAATGCGGTTTACACCAGTTTGCTACCTCCCCTGTGACAAAACAATTTTTTGTTCTATGTTCATTTGTTAAGTTCAAAATTTATTAACAAAGTCCCTGCTGAAAAGAAAGTGTGTCCTGCATTTCCAGAATACAACTAAAACTCAATAACAGATGCTGTAAAGAGCACTGGGTTTCTCAGAAAATGCTCTCTTTTCTGCATTTTCCTGCATTGTTCTGCAGGAACAATGTTCTCTCACCTTAGAGGAGGCTAGCAAAGATCCTTTCAAGCAAGTGGTCTTAAAAAATACAATATTACTCCTACTTGTCTATAGATTTAAAACAATCTTTCTGAAAGTACAGTTACAGCTTAAAGTAACATAGCAGGATTAGTCTGATGACTTTCTTTAGGGTTATACAAGTGACAGGGATGACATTTTTTCACTTATTGGTGTATAAAGGCTAAGGCAGGGCTACACAGTTCATGTTTTTTCATCAAAATTCTTGTGATATTAGTGCCATTGGTTCTCAAGAGGAGTCACAGGCATTTCTGTGAGGAACCCCACAAGAAGTAGAGGACAAACTGAGCAGTTTGCAGCATGATAGCTGTTGAGGAATAGTGATGTATCCTGCTGCTGTACCAATGTGAACAGAGTATAAAATATTTGTAGATTATTGGCCAGCCACAACATTTCTGTTTCTCTCTGGTTTGGGGAAAAAGGGATTATTTGGTAGTTTGTTTAATGGCCTGGCTTTCTTTACATAATCAAGGCAGATATATTTTTCAGTAAAAACACAAAGTAGATCAACTCAAGTATCTTTGAAGTTTGATTACAATAAACTTAACACATACTATTTCCACTTTGAAAGCTTCTCTGCGAAACACTCATATGTATTTAGTGACCTAAGGGTTGTCACTCTAAGCTATCCTGGTTATTCTTTTTGTAAAGGCAGGGTAAAACGGCAAAAGAGATTTTTTGAGCAGGTTAGCCTGCTCATTCTCTTCACCTGTGTTTCTAAGTTTCTAAGAAAGTGTAAAAGTTCAGTCTTTACTGATTTGGAGCCACATCAATGACTACCTTCCTCTTCTTTCCAGGACATGTGTGGACAGTAAGTGTGATCACAGCTGGAACAGCAGGCATCCTGAGGAAAGCTTGCCAAAATACTAATTTCAGTCAGTTTGCTTTTCAGCATGTCCTTTGGCTAACCTTTATTGAGCAAATCCATTAAATAAAGTATTTGGAGATACTTTAGTATGAAAAACTAATACACAGCAAGACCCGTTTTAAATGACAAGGAAACTAATAAGACTAGGTAGTCTCCTGAAAAGTCTAACTCAGGGCTGCTAAAACTGTACTGGACTTTGGGTGGGGGTTTTTTAAGGACTCATTACACTGCTCTATACTGTGCTTGTACTTAGCTTTAGTACACTGGGATCTGCAAGGAGCAGAGAGCGATTTCCTCTCTACAAGCTTTTGGAAAGTTCTGTGTAAGTAGTAGCCCACATAGGAAAAAGCGTTTGCTCATTAGAAAAAGATAATTTCTTCCATATTCAGTCAGTCAAGGCAGTTTGTACGTGCTATTAAAAACTAACACAGTTATTAGGGACCCCACAGATCTTTTTAATACCACCTGGTAGTCTGTACTCAGCAGCTGTACTCACTGGTCCATAAAGGCTGTTAACAGCAGAGGTCAGCATAGTCCTGATCAGTTCATAGAGCAAGGAAACAAAGACGCCCCAGCGAGGGGTGCCTTGGCCAAAGCTCTGTTGCAGGGCAGCCTGAGGAACTGGTATCACCCAGCTTTCCCGAGCCTGAGCCCCAGGACTTAATCAATGTGCCTTGCTATTTCCAAGTCTTCTATTCAATAAATCACAAGAAGAATTTATAAGAACCAAACCTGAAATGCCAAATTATTATTTTAATGGCCACATGACACACTGTCTCCATATCGACATTAAAAAAAAAAAAAAAAAAAAAAAAAAGCAAGCATCAAATTACTAAGTACTCATCCAGTTTTGTAGTAAACTAGCAAAGCCTAACACTGTATAATTAGCTCTGAATGACAGCCTCTGTGTAGGGTAGCTGTATTATTCCTTAATTCACCTACTTCAGGACAGAATATTGTCTCTTCATTGCAAATCACATCTGTTGCGCAATAAAATAATTTTAACAGATTACATGCTTTAAGTGACTGTTTAAGTGACCTGACTCATCACCATGCTTTCTCAGACAAAATCTCCCACTGGATTCCAAAGCAGCTTTGAGAATTAACGGTGAAGACTGTCACCCTTACATTTGCTTGCTATATAATGCTGTGAAGCTATTGCAAAACCAAAACCAACAGAAAGCATGAACTCTAAATTACAAATGAGTTGATGAAAGAATTATCAGTCCCATATGCCATATGCTAATGCAAAGCTTGCACAGAGATTATCATCTTGCAGCTTTATGTCACAGGTAAAATCTTAGGTTTTACAGTAAATTCAGAAGGAAAGTATGAGCTTCACACCCAGTCTTCAGTTTCTTACAGTCTACAGAGGGCTGAAAAACAGATCCACAGATTCTGGATCAGTTCTACAGACTGAAATATGAGACTTGAATTTTATAATGTTAAACATGTGGGGTTTTTTCAACTGAGGATGTGAAAATGAAGCATCCTGCTATTGCTGAGCTGACACAGTCTGCAATAGTTTGTAGTGTGATTGCCTTCCTCTCTTTTAAACGTCTAATTTGCATTGCTGTCTGGGGTGAGGGCAAGCAGTGACATATTTGAACTTCATGGCAAACAAGCACCTTTTTGCCCTAATTAGAAGCCAAGGGCTCTAGAGTTCTCATATTGGCTTGGTTTCTCATTTAGTACAGAACAGCATTTGCCAGATCACCTCACCTCCTTGGCTCGGTTCCTTCATTAACAAGATAGAGTTATAAACATACCTACTGCACAAGGATCTGCAAGGATTAATTAACATCTTTACCCTTTGAATACTTGATCTATAAATAGTTCTCCATAGCAGCAGCAGTCACACCAAAGCTCAAGGGAATGGCTTTTATTCAGTGAAGCTACCTCTGGCAGATGCTTTGTATAAAATTAGTGTTCTTGAAGCAAGACCTTCATAACATTATTATACCAATTCTTCTAAAGCCAGGAGCTGAGTTTTGTGTCCGTTGCACTAGCACTTCCTGTTCTTAACAGACTGCAGTTAGTTTTATATAATGCAAAATTATCACAAATTAGTAAGAGTCCATAGCATTAATACAGGTTACCACAATACCACAAATCACGTAAAGTACCAACCGGATAGATGAGCTGCTGTTAACTCATGAGCTTGCAGAAAAGCAATTATATAGGATACTCCCGTCTGATCCTGAGAGATGATAGTTATACACAGAAGACAAAATATCTTGGAGATAATTCCAGGCAAGAGAAAAAGGTGGAGGAAATGTCAAGGAGATCTTAAATAATCTCATATTAGGTTAATCCCATCTGTGAAGGACTGTACCAAGCATGTTTGATTTAACTCACCCGTACACATCATTTCCAACAGGAAAGCTGTACTGAGAAACAATTCTCTCCTCTGCTTGTCCTGATTCCCCTCCCTGATGCATAACAGAACGATGCTTTCATGGAGACAAGGTCAAAGCACTGGGGAGAATTGAAGGAAACAGATGACAATGTCTGGAACTGAAGCTGGAGAGAAAGGCTAGGATGGAGAGCAATGCTCTGAGGCACAGCTCTCATAGGTAAGGGGAAAATATGGTCCACAGTGAGTAAGAGGAGAGAGAGCAGGGAAAGCTTAGTGGAACAGAGATTGTTTTAACCATGTTCCACTTGAAATGAAAGCCAGAGATCCATGGAAAGGTGTCAGAAACAACCTCAGGGTCCAGTCTATTCAGGAGAAATCAGCCCCACAGCAGAGGTGAACTCACAACATAGAAGTGATTCTTCAGTGTGTGTTAGGCAGTACTATCTAGAAACAAGGTGCAAAACAGGGAAAACAAGGAAGAACTACAGGTTTGCAAAGTAATGGAGCTACTCAGACAAGGATGATGAGGATGAAGCATCAGTTCTGAGCTCTGCCTGGAAAGAGATGAGCACAGGCTTCACATCTGACAGTTTCTGTGCTGTGGCAGGTGTCAAAGAGAGACTGAAAAGTAAGATTTTGACTCAAATTGGAAGAGAGTGACCAGAGAGAACTAACACAAAGAACTTAAGAGATGAAAGGGAGATGAGAAGCAACTGTACCTAATTAATCTATTTGCATATGTGTGGTGAAGGTTTGGGGTTTTTTCTTTTTCAAATTAGAGAAGGCTAAAACTTGCAATGCAAAAGGAAAGAGCCAAAGTCAACAGAAGAATACTAGGTGTGGGGATACAAAAGGGGGTGAAGGAAATCTGACATAATGGCTCAAAGGAGAACAGAAGACTTTTTTTTGCACTCATGAAGGGGAATGTGGGATGTGACAAGATCTGCTTTTTTTCCAGATTTAGAAGAAACCAGAGAAGTTCTATAAAAAGAAAAAAAAAATGTTAAGGTGTCTAAGTCATCAATCAAAAAGATACTGGAAACTGATTAGGACATTTGATTAAACAGAGAAACGCAATGGTTAGTAAGGAAGATCACAGAACAGGAAGAGGAGAGAGAGCAGAAGAGGTCTTTCTGCCTCAGGGACCTTAGGAAGACAAAACCATCTACTTTGACACGGTCCGAAACTACAGCACCAGGAGTAAGTGGTTACAAATGACTCACACCACTGGGGTGCTACACCCTACCTTTAAGCACAGCTCAGAATTCAGGCAAAGTCATGTATTTTACATTGCTAAGTGCCCATTTCAGCATGCTAAGGAGGTTTTTTTTTTTTATGCTACCCATTAAGAACAGAACAAGACAAAGCCATGCAAGTTGGTGGCCCTCTTTCCATGCTTTAAGCACTCTGATGAACAGAAAGGTCACAACCGTTATA